AGCGCGGATCTGCCCACCGCCTCCCTGCACGGACGTCCTGGCCGCCGCCCGCCCCTCGGGGACCCGTGGAGCCTCTGGCTGGGCCCGGCTGTCACCGGCACCTGAGCCCCGGGGCTCGGAGGCCAGACGTGACCAGACCTCGTCAGCTCTGCCTCCTCACTTCCTCTTTCTCGCTCCCTGAACCCCCCAGGGCTCCTTATCCATCGGGTCCTGACACGGAACACTCTTCCCCCAAATCTCTGCCCGGCTGCCCCCCATTAGCTCTCCACACCACTGCTCCGCCCCCGCTCCCTGAGCCACTCTCCCTCAGGAGACCCCTCTCCTCTCCGGAGAGCCAGGGAGCAGAGGGTGGGGAGGAGGAGCCGTGAGGACCTCCTTTCCAGGTTCTGCCCTCATGCCCTGGGCAGCTGGCAGCCGCTGGACCAGCCGTCACCCCTCCAGGCCCCGAGGGTGAGGGAGGCGGCTGGGGCCTCCAACGTCACTAGCTGAGCTTGCTCCCGCTCCTGTGCTCACCGTCTCGGGCAGCCTTTCCCCGCCAGGTCCGGGGGCGGGCCTCCCCCCCCACGGGGCCCCCGCACCCACCTTGACCGTGCGGATGTAATCCAGCGCGTTGGGGACCAGCGACTCCAGCTCGGGGAAGCGCTTCGAGTACTTGTCCCGGATGAACTTGTGGATGATGTCTGAGGCGGGCGGGGCAGGAGACATCTGATGAGGGACTGGCGGACGGCTGGCTATCCCCACAGCCACCTCCCCTCTCGCTCTAGTAACTGAACCCGAGCTTCGCGGGGCGCAAGGACACCCAGAATGAAGGGCCCTTTCCCGCTCCCTCACTGCTGGGCAGGCCGGATATGCCAGTGCTGGTCCAGAGCTGAGGGGTGCAGCTTCAGGGCACCCCTGAAAGGAGAGGTGTGCCCCCGGCTCGGCCGTCTTGCTGGAGGCGAGGGCTGAAGTGGGCAGTCACCTGGTACCACCAAACAGGCAGCGGACCCACAAGATGAAAGAGCCTGGTCTGGCCGGTGTGGCTCAGTGGCTGAGCACTGGCCCATGAACCAAAAGGTCCCTGGTTCGATTCCCGGTCAGGGCCCATGCCCAGCTTATGGGCTCGATTCCCAGGGAAGAAGGGGGGGGGGCACACACAGGGGGCAGCTAATCGATGTCTCTCTCTCATCGGTGTTCTTATCTCTCCCTCTCTCTCTCTCTAAAAACCAACAGAAACCACTTAAGAAAACAAACAAGGAGAAAGCCTGGGCGGCAGACACTGCCACCCCAGGCCCAGCCGGACTGCCCACCCCTCCCACGCAGAGGGAGGGGGCGCTCCTCCTCCTCAGCGCAGCCCGGGCCTCAGCAGCAGAGGCCCCAGCAGCAGAGGCGGGGCTCGGGGAGAGGCCCGGGGACCCTGCCTGCCCCCCCGCCCCCCCGCCGCCCCAGGCAGGGCTGTCTGCCCCCCGCACTCACTCAGCTCGTTCTCAATCTCCACGGTCAGGTTGTTCGCGTCCACGATGACCCGGTATTCGGGCGCCGCCTCCACCGGTCCCATCACTGTGAGGGCGAGAGACAGCAGTGGGTGCCCGTGCCCGCGGCTCTGCCCACACAGCTCTTTCCCTGGTCACTCCCACCCCCCGCCATGCGCCTGACACATTCACACTTCCAAGTCCAATCCAGGTATCACTACTTCCCTGGCCCCCGAAGCAGGGTCAGCTGGCCCTCTGGTGGCTGCAGAGGGTCCCAGCTCCCTCCCTCCTAGGAGGTACTGCCCCCCAATTGTTGCCTGGGACCTGCTGACCTCGGCTGACCCCTCTGGGTGCCTGCCCCGAGGTGCCCGTCTTCCCTTTGCAGAAAGGGACAGTGAATGTCCCTGACACTCCGCTCTGACGTCACCTGAGCCTGACAACCTCCGGCCACCAAACCCAGAACCCCACCCTGGCAGGAGGCATGGGCGGCAACAGGACCGCCCCGAGAGCTGGCCCCACCGGTCAGGAGCCAGCCCAGCGCTGCCCCCAGCTGGGAGGGAGGCCTTAGTGGACGCTCAGTAATCCTGCACGTCTGCGGTTACTTCCTGTCCACCAAAGATACCAGTTTTCCACTCACAGTAACACAGCTCTCCTTCTGAGATACATTTAATGAAAATGGTACGCTGATGTAAAGAAAATGTGGGCAGGGGGTTGGGAGGCTGGGTGGAGGAGGTGAAGGGATTAGGAAGTGCAAATTGGCAGTTACAAATAGTCAGGCGAGTCTGGCTGGTGTTGCTCAATGGTTGAGTGTCCACCAATGAACCAGGAGGTCATGGTTCGATTCTCGGTCAAGGGCACATGACTGGTTTTGGGGCTGGATCCCAGTGATTCTCTGTCATCACTGATGTTTCTATCTCTCCCTCCTTCTCCCTCCCTCTCTGAAATCAACAAAATACATATTTAAAACACACACACACACACACACACACACACACACAAAAAAAAAAAACACCCCCACACAAAAACCAAATAGTCAGGGGAATGCAGAGTACAGCACAGGGAACAGCGTCAATAATCCTATCTAATAAAGAGGGGATATGCAAATTGACCATCACGCCATCACCAAGCTGGTGGCGCCCAGGCCCCTCAGCCCTGCCGGAGTCCCACAGTCCTTCCAGCCCAGACAGTGGGAGGGAGATGGAGGTGGGGGAGACAGGTGCATGGTGCGCCTGGAACCACCTCAGCACCCCCAACCACCCAGGCCTGCCTGAGGCTCAGGTAACCAGGGCCGGCCAAAGTTGCGCTACCAGCAGTGGCAGCAGCAGAGGTGTGATAGGGGTGTCGCCTTCCCCTGATTGCAGGGTCGCCTCCTGGCCCTGAGGGCTCCCGGATTTTGAGAGGGGGCAGGCCGGGCTCAGGGACACCCCTCCCTGCCTCCACTGCAGTGCATGGATTTTCACACACCAGGCCTCTAGTATTATAACCACTGTGGATGCTGCCAAGTGGGCACTAGACTTAGCAGGGGTCACTCTGTAAGGTAAACGTCTAACCACTATGCTATACACCTGGAACTAATATAATACTGTATGTCAACTGTAATTAAACAATAAAAAATAAAACTGGGTGCTAAAAAAAAACCCAACCACACAGGACAAGTAGTGAAACCCCGGTAACTGTTCTTGTGACCTGCTTAGAACCTGGACAGAGACCTAGGCGACTGGTGAGCGCTGTAAAACAGCATCTTTTCGGAGAGAAGGGGACTGGGCTGGGATGCAGGAGAAGAGGGCTCAGGGAAAGGCCGGGAGGGAGAGCAACCAGCTTTCAAAGCCGCAAAAGCAACAGCAGGGGCCCTGGAGCCTGGCGGGGACCGTACGGTGGGGTACCAGGCAGGATAAAGCCGAGGGGAGGGTACCTTCCGAAGCTTTGGCTTGCTTGCTGATGTACTCCTCGATCTTCATCATGATCTCAGCAAACTGGGGAGGAGAGGCTGGTCAGCTCCCAGGACAGGGATGGGGAGAGAGAAGCCCCGCCCACCACGCCCTCCGAGCTCCCGTCCAGCCCAGCCGCGGCCGCTCACCATCTTGCTGTCCCACAGCTTGGCGATGCTCTTGACCGAATCCCCGGACAGATCCAGCTGCGTCTCCTCCTGCACATCCTCGATCGCCGGCTCCTCCTCTTCCTCCCCATAGCTGCCTCCTTCCTCCTCTTCCGCCGCCTCCTCGAGGTCAGCCAGGAGCTCGTCTGCCAGAGACATCCCGAGGCCTACTGGGGGGAGAGCAGGGGGCCCCTCATTACCGAGGGGCTTCCCCCCAGGAGGCCTGGTCCACCCGCGTCCACCCCGCCAGCACGCAGGCCCCACAGGACCGGCATTTTCATCTGCGTTGCTCTCCCGCTCCTAGCTGTGCCCGGCACATAGTAAGTGCTCAGTAAACACCAACTGAATTAACCCACGAACAAACACCCCCAGAGCCCAGATAATCTCCAGCCATAACTCACACCACCTGCCCTCTCTCGGTCACCTCACTGACAAGACACAGCACACCCCCTCCTTAAAGCTTAAGAGATACATCCTGCCTGGCTGGTGTGTCTCAGTGGAGAGAGCACTGGCCTGCGGACAGACGGGTCCCGGGTTCGAATCCCAGTCAAGGGGGGAAGTCCCTGGGTTGCAGGCTGGATCTCCCTGGTGGGGATGTGGGTTGGGAGGCAGCCAACGGATCACATCGATGTTTCTCTCTCCCCCATCTCCCTCTCCCTCCCTCTCTCCCACTGTCTCTAAAAAGCGACGGGGGAAATGCTCTCTGGTGAAGACTAACAACCACAAAATCTAATTTCTAACACTGGAACGCCCGCCTTCCCCTTGAAGCTAACGTTTCCGTGAGAACAGACCCCGTTTCGTTCATTGCTCGCTCGCTCCCCCAGCGCCCGGCGCGGGGCGGGCACCAAGACGTCGCCTGATCCCAACCTGCCACCCCCACCCCCCACCCCGGGGCCCACGAGTCCTCACCTGCCCCCCTCACCTCACCCACGTCTCCCCCACTTTTTCGGGCCCGGGCCCTCCTCAGCCGCCCGTTTTCGCCCTGCACCCCAGCTCCCTGACCCCCGCACCCCACTCTCGGTGACAGCCCGCACGCCCGCGGCACCCCATACACTGGGGGTTACCGTGGGGACTTCAGCGCCCGCCTCCCCGGGCGGAGGGCGCTGAGGGCCGGGGTGGAGGGGGTCCTGCCGCCGCAGGGGCCCCGACCTCCGGGCGGTCAGCCATGTCCTCGCCCTCGGCCGCCCCCTCCCCGCCCCCGACAGGCGCGCCGGCCGCCGCCGCACTCACCACCGCCTTCCCTCCGCGCGCGACGGCTCCCCGGAACTCAGCTCCGGGCGCCGCTCGGTGACGCGCACTGATGACGTCCCGCCCGCGCGCCGCGGCAGACTCGGCGCCGCGCTCTGATTGGCCCCCCGCGCCCCGTCCCTCAGGCGCGCGGTTGGAACAACAACTTTATTAGCACCGGCCGCTGGGCGGAGACGGTCGGGTCGGAGCGGGTGCGAGGCGAGGGGCTCCCCCGGCCCACGGCCCGCCGAGGACCGAGCCTCCCGGGCGGAGGAGAGTCGCCGTGGTCAGGCGGCGCGGCGTCCGGACCAGGATAAAGGCGGAGGCGACTCGGGACGACCGGTGGCGGCGTGAGACCGGAGAACAAGGGCCTTTGGGCCCGGACTCGGGGTGGCGGTGGGGGGGGGGCGAGAGAGGAAAGCCGGAAATAGAGAACTACAACTCCCAGGAGGCTTAGCGGCCGAGCCCCGGTGGACTTGGCTGTGGACTCTGATGGGGCGTGTAGTTTTGCGAAGCACTTTATAACCTAGAGGTTTGCAGCGTCGGGAGTTCTGCGCCGGGAGCCGGGGAGAAATGGAGCTGGAGCAGAGAGAGGGGTAAGTGGCTTTGGGGGAAATCCCAAGAGACGGTGCGGCTGCAGCATATACTATCATCCGCGCTTTGCCCTGAGGGCTGATGGGGGTTGTAGTTCGTGGAATGGCTTTGGGTTAGAATTCTTTATTAGGGACTGGGGTCTGTATTCAGGCATCCTAGGGGGATGAGGGCTGGGGCGTCAAGAGGTTGGAAGCCTGGATTCCTGGGTCTCAGTGAGGGGTTGGGACCTTGAACTTCCCTAAATACTTAGGAGGAGGAATCGGGGGGGTCTGAACTCTCTCGGGGGTCAGGGCTTGAATTCTGGATCCTTTGAAGGAGAGGCTGGGGGGCCTGGCCTCCCGGCTTGGAGGGAGGAGCAGGGGCCCGGAGGTTCAGGGTCCCTGAGTCCCCCTGGCCCCACAGGACCATGGCAGCCGTGGGCTTTGAAGAGTTCTCAGCCCCTCCAGGCTCGGAGCTGGCGCTGCCCCCGCTGTTCGGCGGCCACATCCTGGAAAGCGAGCTTGAGACCGAGGTGGAGTTCGTGTCCGGGGGGCTGGGCGGCTCCAGCCTCCGGGAGCGCGATGAGGAGGAAGAGGCGGCCCGAGGCCGGCGGCGGCGCCAACGGGAGCTCAATCGCAGGAAGTACCAGGCGCTAGGCCGGCGCTGCAGGGAGATCGAGCAGGTAGGTGAGTGTGGATTCCGTTTTGGGGTCCCCTGGCCTGAGTGCTCACTCCCCATCCCCGAGCGTGGGCGGGCGCAGCCTCTCTCGCCCAGCAGGATGAGTCTTTTCCTGCATCGTTCGTTCATTCCACACCTGGAGTGCTGTCTCCTCCAGGGGCTCCGGTGACAAGCCCAGATCAGCTCGCTGATGCCTCACAGGTGCCTGTCCTGCAGTGTGAGCATATGCAGGAGGGACAGCCCCTTCCGGTCCACAGATGGCCTGCGGGCTGGCCTCCTGGCCCCCAGCTGGGCTGGCTGCACCCGCCGTTGAGTGGGTGCAGCTGACCTGTGCTCGCCCCCTCCCCGCAGGTGAACGAGCGGGTCCTAAACAGGCTCCACCAGGTACAGAGAATAACACGGAGACTCCAGCAGGAGCGGAGGTAACCATTGCGCACCTGACCGGCAGGCTTGCCTCTGCCCCGGACCTCGTTCCCACCTGCTTCTCACTTCTCCACTTTGCCCGGAGTGCCCGGCTGGCCATCTGGGGCCAGGAGGAGACCAGGCTGCAGAGGAGGGTGGAGGGCTGAGGCCGGTGGGGGACCAGGAGTAGGATTGGGTCTTGCATAAGGTGACCAGATGTCCCGATTTTTAAAAAATATATATATTTTATTGATTTTTTTACAGAGAGGAAGGGAGAGGGAGAATTAGAAACATCAACGAGAGAGAAACATCCATCAGCTGCCTCCTGCATATCCCCCACCAGGGATATGCCTGCAACCAAGGTACATGCCCTTGACCAGAATCGAACCCAGGACCCTTCAGTCCACAGGCCAATGCTCTATCCACTGAGCCAAACCAGCCAGGGCAGATGTCCCGATTTTTAACAATTTGTCCCGGGTCGTGGGACAAATTGTTAAAAATCAGGACTGTCCCGCCAAAAGCGGGACGAGAGCTGCCCGGGCCTAGGGGAGCAGGTGTATACCCCCTGAGCCGAAAGGGCAGCAAAGGAAGGGATTCTGGCCTTAAGAGCCACAGTCCCAGGCCTAGCTGGTTTGGCTCAGTGTATAGAGCGGTGGTCGGCAAACTGCGGCTCTGTTGACTCATGAGTTTGTCGACCACTGCCTTAGGGAAAAACACTTTTAAAAAAACAACATTTTAGTAATGTTTCTAACCTGAAGTCAAAACTTCTGGGTAAGGATAATGCCTTACGCAGTGGTCGGCAAACCGCGGCTCCAGAGCCACAGTTCACCAACCACTGGGATAGAGCATCATCAGCTTGCAAACCAAAGGGTCCTGCGTTCGATTCAGGTCAAGAGCATGCACTTGGTTGCGGGACACACCAGCTAGGGCCAGACAGGGCACTTTCAGAAGCAGGGATGGGGAGGAGCAGGCAGAGCCCCTGAGAGCTGAGGCCGCCCGGGTGTCCTGCACAGGCCCCCCTGGCCCTTTAGTTGTGAATAAAGATGAAGGCCACATTGAACGTCTGCTCAGCCCACATCCCCCGCGTGCTCTCTGGCCGGCCGGGTCTGGTTGTGGTGTCACAGCCGTCCCTGCAGATGGGTTGTCCCTCCCGATGACAGCGGGAAGCTAAGGGGTGGAGTCGCCTTCTCCTGCCCCAAGTCCACTGGCTGGCCAGGCACTTGGCACCCGGGTCTCAGACCCCAGCCCTCCAGCCCTTCTGGCTTCAGAGGGAGTCAGAGCCGGGCTGTGGGGCCCCTTCCCCTGCCCGTCAGAGACCCAGGGGTCCCCGGCGCTCCTCTCCGGGTGCAGGTTCCTCATGAGGGTGCTGGACTCCTACGGCGACGACTACCGGGCCAGCCAGTTCACCATCTTGCTGGAGGTGAGCAGAGGACGAGGGCCGGGGGAGCCGGGAGCCCAGGACACGGTCCTCACCTGCCGCCCGCCCCGCTCCAGGATGAGGGCAGCCAGGGCACAGACGCCCCCACCCCGGGCAACGCTGAGAACGAGCCTCCGGAGAAGGAGGGGCTGTCCCCGCCCAGGAGGACGCCGGCCCCCGAAGCCAGCAGCCCGGCCCCCGGCGAGGGGCCCAGCGGGCGCAAGAGGCGGCGAGCGCCCCGGGAGGGACGCCGAGCGGGGGTCCCGCTGACCCCGGAGCTGCCCCCCGTGCAGGTGGGAGGCCAGGGGTTAGGGGTCAGGGGTCAGGGGCCGGCAGAGGGTTGGGGTTGGGAGGAGGAAGTTGGGGAAAGCCAGGAAAGCTGGGGTGGGAAGAGGAAGGCTTGGAGGGAGATGGGAGGGGAGACGGGGCTGGAGACCACGGGGACCCAGGCACGCTGGGACTTCCTGGGGTGCACCAGGAGGCTGCCGGTCCCCGAGTGCAGGCATGGTGGGGCCCAGAGCCTCCCCCAGCCCCGGGCCACCTCACACGGAGCGTTTCGCCCCCAGATAAAGGTGGAGGAAGACTTTGGCTTCGAAGCGGACGAGGCCCTGGACTCCAGTTGGGTTACTCGGGGGCCAGACAAGCTGCTGCCTTACCCCACCCTAGCCAGCCCCCCCTTTGACTGACACCCCCCCCCCCCCCCAATAAACGGACCCCGTGCTTTCCTCAGCCACTGTCTGCTGCTCCCGCCTCTGATCACACACACTGGACTCTGGGTCGGTTTTCACATTTTATTGGGGGTCACAGGGGAGGGGACCTCCTCTCTGCCGGTTCACAGGTTCTTCAGCCACTCCAGGCTGTGGCCCTGGGGGTCCTGGGGGTGGCTGGGCACATCGGGCATGTTCCCATCATCCCGGACGGGCACTGCGGCAGGAGGGCGGGCGCTGAGACCAGCCGCTCTCCGGGGTCCCCGGAGAAGGGCTGGCCTGGGGGTGCACATTCACAGAGGGGACCAGGGCCCCCCCCGGGGCGAGGAGACGGGAGAGGGAGGGTCAGAGCACCAGACACACAGACCATCGGGGACATGGAGACCTAGGGGCGCAGGAAACCGGACAGGCGGACAGCCCACTCACCTGGGTAGGTGTAGGGTGTGACCTCGTTGATCATGATGGCGTACTTGGTGAAGGGGCTGATGAAGGGCAGAAGCAAAGCTGTGGAGACATGGGGGTGAGGCCCCCGGAAGAGGGCTCTGGGAGGGGGAGGGGCAGGAGCCGAACCCTGGCAACGTGGGGGCTGAGTGCATGGGGAGAGGGGAGGGAGGGGGGTCAGGTATAGCACCCCCAAGAGGCCCATGGGCACCCCAGGGTCCCTGCTTCTCAGAAGGGTTTATCATTATTTTGGAGGGCACGGGGGGGGGGGGGGGGGGGGGGGGAAATGGACTGAGGGCTGGTGTGGAGAGGGGTCCCCGGAGGTGGGGGAGCATCTTGGGAACGTTCCAGGGGAACCCTAGACACGCTGAGGGAGAGGGGCTGTGCGGGAACAGTCCGCCAGGGTGGAGCCAGGGGTCCTGGGGGTGGGGCAGGGCACCGAAAGGGCCGCTCTAGGCCAACACTGACACGTGACTACATTTCTAATGGCCACACTGCAGTGGAAACAAGTTAGATATCCTGTATAATAAAAGGCTAATAGGCAAACGGTCCCCTCAACCAGGAGTTCAACTGGATGGGGGAGGGCAGGGCCAGCCGCCCACCAACCTCCTGCAGCCCCTCGGCCAGCCCAATCAGCCCTGATGGGGCAGGCCAGCCGGATCCCACCTGTGCATGAATTCGTGCACTGGGCCTCTAGCATATATACCTTTTGTTAGTCCTCACTCCAGGACACTTTTCCCACTGATACTTATTTTTAAGGAGAGTGCATAGGAGGGGGAAGAGATGGAGAAACATTGATGTGAGAGAGAGAGACATTGATTGGTTGCCTCCTGGACGTGCCCAGACCAGGGCCAGGATGGAAAGGGCCAGGGCCCTTGATGGGAATCGAACCCCTTGGCCCAAAGGCCTCACTATCCACTGAGCCAAACCGGCTAGGGCAAAACAAGATGACTTTAAGATATATTTAACCTGGTACATCCAAATCATAGTTTCAACACACCAGACATTGTATGTACCTTTTGTCATAGTAAGTAGCATTTCAAGGGCTGCTCCGTGGCTAATAGGACAACTGACTTCTAAGAACCTGGCCCAATGGCCGGCAGACACGGCGCTGACAAGACGGGACACTGAAAGGCAGTATCCCAGACACGCCCCCCCCCCCCCCCCCCCCCCGCCGAGTCCGAGCCTACTTTTTTTTTAAAAAAAAAACATTTTTAAAGTCCTCATCCAAGGGCATTTTCCCATTGAATTTTAGAGAGGGAAAGACAGGAATATCCATATGAGAGAAATATGGATCCGTTGCCTCCTGCACGCGCCCCGCAGGGGAGGAGCCTACAGCCCAGGTGCATGCCCTTGACCAGAATGGAACTGGGACCCTTCGTCTGTGCCCCCAAGTGACCCCCGTGCACCTTCAAGTATGCGGCACCCTGTCCCAGAGCAGAGGGTCTCCATGGGGCGCACAGTGAAGTCGCAGGTGGGGGGGGGGGGGGGAGGGTGAAGGCGGGGAGGATCTGCATCGCCATTGGTTATCGCTCAGGGGGTTTCCTGCGCGGCCAGGCCTGGGCGCCCCTCCTTGAAAGGGACTGTGGACCTCGAGGTGCAGGAGGAGGGGGGTGGGGAAAGGACCATAGAATTGGGGATGGGGTGGGCCAGGGAACCCCGTGAGGGTGTTGACACACAGCGGGGAGGGGACACGGAACGTCGGGGCGGCCGGGGGTCAGGACGGAACCCCGAGGGGGGCCACGGGACTTTGGGGCGGGGGGTGGGGACACCGGTGGGGGTGATGCACGCTCGCTCTCACGCACAGACGCCCCCGATGGCGAAGGACGCGACCAGCACCGGCTCCTTGGCCCAGGCATCCTTGATGAAGTGGGCGATTCCTGGAGGGGCGGGCGGGCAGGGTCACTCCGCAGGGAATGCCCCCGGTGACCTCTATCCAGCCATCTCGCGCCGCCCCGGCCCTGGAGGAGCCCTCGCGTGGCCTCAGCGGCCCCCTCCGGCCATGACCCCACCGCCTCCGCGGGGGCACCGCCGCGCCCCAGCCCCGCACCGCCCGCGTCCGCCCCGCGCCCCACGCTCCAGCTGCACCAGAACTCACTCCCGGCCATCTTGGTCGCGGCGGCGGCTGCGGCGGCGGCGCGGAGCACGCTGGGTATTGTAGTCCCTGCTCCCGAGACTCGGCGGTCTTAGTCTGCGCGTGCGCACTGACGTAGAACAGCGATCCTAGGCCACGGCGAGGGCGCGGAGCACGCTGGGTTTTGTAGTCCCTGCTCCCGAGGCTCGGCGGTCTGAGTCTGCGCGTGCGCACTGACGTAAAACAGCGATCCCAGGCCGCGGCGTTGGCGCGGAGCACTCTGGGAGTTGTGGTCCCTGTGCCCAAGGAGCCTTGGGTTCCGCGCGTGCGCACTGGAGCAGAACAGAGGTCTATGGCGACGTTCCTCTTTTTGAAGGGCAAGCCCTTCTTGGCACACCTGCCGCCGCCCTCTTTCCTCTCTCCGCCCAGACGTCCCTCTGGAGGAGTAACTTCTCCCCACTGCCGCTGCTGCGGCTCATCCCAGGCGGACGGCAGTAGCCCTCATGTCTTAGTTTACCTATGGGAGCCCATTTTACAGATGGGCAAGTGGAGGCTGGGAGAGGACCAATGACCCGAGCTTTCATGCGAGGCCTCCGCTCAAAATCAGTTCGTCCTGAAACGCCAACTCTCAGCACAGGGGTCTCCTGTGGACGCTCACGGTGCCCCGGGGAGAGGGGGTCCCCATCTCCATTACAGCGCACAGGACCTGTTTTTAAACTGACCGGGTCCGCAGCTGTCTGCCCATCAGACTGGGAGCTGCTGGGAGGCAGCAGCCGGGTCCTGACTCCTCTCTGCGCCCCCAGAATCACGTAGCAGAATCAGAAACACCGATGGGAGAGAAACATCCATCAGCTGCCTCCTGCACGCCCCCTATTGGGGATGTGCCGGCAACCAAGGTACATGCCCTTGATCGGAATCAAACCTGGGACTCTTCAGTCTGCAGGCCAACGCTCTACCCACTGAGCCACACCGGCTAGGACAGTTGCTAATTGTTTTTAAATTTTAATTACTGAACTCTACCCCAATCCAACTTTTCCCACGCACTATGGGGCTGTGACACGGTCCTCAGGGCTCCCCCGCCTTCCCTTCCCCGCCCCCCTTCCCTTCCCGCTCTCCTCCCTCAACAGGGTTCTGACTCTGACTCTGATGTTGCCTCACTTCCTGGGAGGTAAGAGGGCCGGGTTGAGCCCTGCCTTCGGCTCCGGCTCCGGGCAGACCTGCCCACCATGGTCCTGGTACTGACCCTCCAGCTGCTGGCCCTCTCGTGTGAGCCCCCCCACGCCCTCTCTCCGGGTCCATAGCGGGGCTGGGGTACAGAAAGACAGGCTCTGGAGACCCAGACACCTAGCGAATGGGGGGCGATGGCGGGGGGAGAGAAGCAAGGGAGAACTGCTGGGTCTCCTGGGGGCACGTGCAGGGAGGTGAGGCAGAATCAGCTAAGGGTTCAGAACTCCAGGCCAGAATAGTGGGACAGGAGCGGGGCCAGACCCTGGGGTCCCAAAGCATGAGACCACAGGGGCCCGGAATCCCCCGTTCCTGGGAGAAGGGGAAGTTGGGCGCAGGATCCTCTGGCTCTTGGGGCAGGAGAGCTAGACCCCTGAGGGAGAGGGAGGATCAAGTCCCAGGTTCTGAGGTTGGGGGGGGGGGCGGGGGTAGGTGGAAGCCAGGACACCGGGGTCCCTGAGATCAGGGGGAGCTGCAGCCCAGACTCCTGAACCCCAGCAAGGAGGAACTGGGGGCTCAGATTACCATCTCCTGGGAAAGGTGGGGTCCAAGGGCTTATTTCTTGGGTACAGAGGCAAGAGGGTCCTGGGCCCAGATCTCTGGCTTCAGCAGGTGGGAGTGTGGTTTGGGGGGGGGGGGACTTAGATCCTGGGGTTGTCCCTGGTGTGGGGCTTTGACAAGACCGAGTCCCCTCAACCTTCCACAGGGCCTCTGTGTCACACGGGCGTCACCTCCGATGGTGAGTACACCCCCCCTCCCCCCTGCCCCGCCATCCATCCATCCCCCCGTGTGTTGCTGACATCCCATTTCCAACGACTCATATTTTCTCTTTGCTGCCCACCTCGGCCCAAGATTTCCTTATCTCTCTCCCTCATCCTCCTTTCTTTCATTCCTTCTCACTCCCGTGAGTGACCGGTATTGGGGAGTAGTGAGATCATGAACTTTGGAGCTAAAGAGATCTAAACTGGAATGCCCCGTCCACCGTTTTTGTTTTTTATTTATTTAATATATTTTATTGATTTTTCACAGAGAGGAAGGGAGAGGGATAGAGAGTTAGAAACATCCATCGGAGAGAAACATCGACCAGCTGCCTCCTGCACACCTCCTACTGGGGATGTGCCCACAACCAAGGTACATGCCCTTTGACCGGAATCGAACCTGGGACCCTTGAGTCTGCAGGCTGGCGCTCTATCCACTGAGCCACACCGGTTAGGGCCACGTCCACCGTTCTGTTCGCTTATGAACTGGAACAAGCCAGGGCACGCTAGGACTCAGTTTCTTTCTCTGTGAAATGGGCCATTGGGGGGATTAGAGGCTCAGAATGTGGCATAGCTCTGGAGATAGAGCTTCTGGCAGCGCTTACGGTCCCCTTATTTAGGAAGTAGGATCCCTGGCGCTGAAGTAGCCTTGGGTTTCTTTCCAGATCTCCCGAAAGTGAGATCTCTTCTTCCTCCCCAACCTCACCCACCCACAACACTCAGATTTCAAATGATAACCACCTCGAAAGCCATTCATTCATACAGAAGCGATCAGGTTATTTTAAATGACGGTGTTTAAAAAGGACAAAGCGAAAATATGTTCGTGGTTTTTTAAAAATCCGATCATTGCCAGAGGACGTGTAACAGTCTCTCTCTTGCCCTTCCTCCTCTTCCTTAAATAATCTCTGAATCCTTCCTTCAGAATTTCCACGCATCCAAACACATACTCGGATTTACATACTTCTCGGTTTTCTCGCCAAGGAAAAAACTTGATGTTTCGTGACTCACTCTGCGCTGCATCTTACATTTTCCACTTTACAATCTCTCTTGGAGCGATTTCTGTGTCCTTTAGCTAGCTCTTCCCCCCCCCCCCTCCTTGTTTTTTGTTAATCCTCACTGGAATATATTTTTCCATTGATTTTTTTTTAGACAGGGGAAGGGGGTGGGGGGGAAGAGACACACAGAGAAACATGGATGTGAGAGAGACACACTGATTGGTTGCCTCCTGCACACACATCGACCAGGGCCTGGGATCAAGCCTGCAACCGAGGTACGTGCCCTTGACCGAGATCGAACCCGGAACCCTTCAGTCCAGGGGCCGACACCCTATCCACTGAGCCACACCAGATAGGGCTCCCCCACCCCCCTTTCAACTGCTGTCATTGAAGCACTTGCCGCTGTATGGCTGGACTCTCATATGTTTGTTCCTCTTGCTGTATATTTAGGTTGTTTCCAGTTTCCCTATCCCTCCACCACCCACCAGTGCTGTAGGGAATGCTTCTGGTTGAGCTTTCTGTGAGAGCAACCAGGCATGTGCTCCTGACCCGAGTTGGACCCGGGACCCTTACGCCTGCAGACCAATGCTCTGGCCACTGAGCCAGGCTGGCTAGGGCCTCTTTGTGTATCTTTAAAAAAAAAAAAAAATTATATACGGTATTTTCCGGCGTATAAGACGACCCCCCCTAATTTTACAGTTAAAACAGGTTTAGGCCTATATTTGCTGTCTAAGACTACCCCCCACTTCAAAGAAAAGACTTACTTTGCTGACAAGATCTGCAGGTAATTTTTGTGCAATTTTGTTCTTTTGCCCCCGATTTTCGGTTGACTTTTTTTCTGTTCAAACGTCATCTTATACGCCAGAAAATACGGATATATATATACATATATATATATATATATATATATATATGTATATATATATATTTAATATATATTTTATTGATTTTGTACAGAGAAGAAGGGAGAGAGATAGAGAGTTAGAAACATCGATGAGAGAGAGTCATCGATCAGCTGCCTCTTGCACACCCCCCCACTGGGAATGTGCCCGCAACCAAGGTACATGCCCTTGACCGGAATCGAACCTGGGACCTTTCAGTCCCCAAGCCGACGCTCTATCCACTGAGCCAAACCGATCTCGGCGATATATATATATATATATATATATATATATATATATATATATATATATATATATATTTATTTATTTTTATTTTTTTTTTAAAGATTTCATAAAGGAAGAGAGGAGGAGAGAGAGAAACATCAATGATGAGAATCATTGATCTGATGCCTCCTGCACGCCCCCTACTGGGGATGGAGCCCACAACCCAGGCATGTGCCCTTGACGGGAATCGAACTGGGACCCTTCAGTCCTGGTCAAGGTGTCTAGGGCCTCTTTGTGTATCTCGATAGAAACTGGCAAATTGCCTTCTCGCAAGGCACACTCAAGTATACCTAAGTGCCTTCACCCACGTGGGATGCTGCCAATGTTTAGTTTGGACAACCTGATCGTCAAAGATACCTTATTGTTGTTTCAGTTTTTGTTGTTGTTAATCCTCCCCCGAGGGCATTTCCCCCATTAACCTTTAGGGAGAGTAGAAGGGAGGGAGGGCTGAGGGTGGAGAGAAATGTCCATGTGACAGGAGCACATTGATGGGTTGCCTCCCCCACAATCAAACCTGCAACCCAGGTACATGCCCTGGACCAGGAATTGAACCCTTGACCCTTGGTGTGCAGGCCGATGCTCTAACCACTGAACACCCCATCCAGGGCTTTTGTTTTGATTTTTAAAGCAAAGGGGGGGATGGACGGACACTGATTTGTTGTTCCCCTTATTTATGCATTCATTGTTGGTTATTGTATGTGCCCTGACCGGGAATCGAACCCGTAACCTTGGCGTATTGGGATGACACTAACCCTCTGTGCTACAGGGCTTAGGGCCTGTTTTGGTTTTTTAAGTGACTGCGACTAAGGCTGGACAGTCTTCCCAGCACCCCCAAATGTGCATTGGCCAATTGTACTTCCTGTTCTGGGAAATGACGAGTCACATGTTTTACCCAACTTTGGACTGGGCCGGCCCTGGGGTTTCTTTCTAGATGACTCTTGTTTGTTTACTAATCCTCACCCGAGAAGGAGGGGGGAGGAGAGAGAGAGAGAGAGAGAGAGAGAGAGAGAGAGAGAGAGAGAGAGAGAGAGAGAGAGAAACATCAAAGTGAGAAAGACACATAGATTGGTTGCCTCCTGAACTCGCCCACACGCCCCACGGTGTTGGGGGATTGAACCTGCAGCCTGGGTACATGCCCTTGACCCTGTGGTGTTCGGTGTGTGTGTGTGTGTGTGTGTGTGTGTGTGTGTGATGCGCTAACCACTTAGCAACACCAGCAGGGCTCTTTCTATACTCTTGCTCTACAGCATTTATGAGAACGTCATTTCGGCCAGTGCTCTGATCCATGTGACTTTCCTCAGACACGGCTGGGGAATGTCAAAGAGCTCACATTTACTAACCTTATTCCCTTCCAACTTCTCATTTTGTGTTTTAAGACAGCCTTCTGTACCCCAAGACAAATGCATCTTCCTATGCTTTCTTCTTCTTCTTTAAAAAAAAAAAAAAAAAAAAAAAATATATATATATATATATATATATATATATATATATTATATATATTATTAATTTTTTACAGAGAGGAAGAGAGAGGGATAGAGAGTTAGAAACATCCATGAGAGAGAATCATCAACCAGCCTCCTCCTGCACACCCCCTATTGGGGATGTGCCCGCAACCAAGGCACATGCCCTTGACAGGAATCGAACCTGGGACCCTTCAGTCCGCAGGCCGACGCTCTACCCACTGAGCCACACAGGTCTCGGCCTATGTTTTCTTCTGATACTTTTATTGTTTAGGAGACGCGTAGGCCTTTCATAGATTGGGAAACGGTTTTGGGAAGGGTGTGAGGTGGAGATCCAACGTGCCCTCCTCCCTCTAACCTGAGAGCAAGTTTGGTAACTGTTGAATGCTGTTGGGTGCGACACAGATATTCCGGAGAGCAATTTAAAATGGCAGGTTTCTGCCCTAGCCAGTGTGGCTCAGTGGACAGAGCGTCGGCCTGTGAACTGGAGGGTCCCAGGTTCGATTCCGGTCAAGGGCATGTGACTTGGTTGTGGGCACATCCCCGGTAGGAGGTGTGCAGGAGGCAGCTGATCGATGTTTCTCTCTCATGGATGTTTCTAACTCTCCCTCTACCTTCCTCTCTGTAAAAAAAAAAAAAAAAAAAAAAAAAAAAAAAAAAATCAATAAAATATATATTTAAAAAATAAATAAAATAAATAAAATGGCAGGTTTCTGGGACCCAGCTCCTTGACATGATGTTTAAAAATCGCAGAGGAGCCAGCCAGAGGGGCTCAGTGGTAGAGCGTTGACCTATGAACGAGGGGGTCAGGGTTCAATTCCCGGTCAGGGCACTGGCCGGGGTTCGGGGCCTGATCCCCAGTGTGGGGCGAGCAGGAGGCAGCTGATCCACGATTCTCTCTCCTGACGGATGTTTCTCTCTTCCTCTCTGACATCAATTTTTGAAACTATTAAAAACAGCCACCAGCAGCACCCACACGTGGAGGACAGCGTGGGGGGTGAGGGAACTGAGGCTGAGGAGGGGACTGCCTGTCCAGGCGACGCTGCTCTCACCCCAGCCTCCTCTTCGTGTCCGCAGGCACCCAGGAAGCCCGGGGACCCCCGGATGCAAACGCCCCCGCCTCGTTCCCCAGGCACAGGGCGCACGAGAACGTGTGGGATATCACCAAGTTCCTGGAGCTCTTCCCCACGGCCCCACCACCCGCTGGGCCTCCCTCCCACCCCACCATCGGGCAACCCAGGCCCTTGAATCCACACTTCCCCTTTCCATACCCCAAGCACAAGCAGTCAGTCCCCCCAATCTCGGCCCCCAAGCCCCCCAAGCCCTCCCTGGCGGCTCAGCCCGCTGCAGTGGTGACCCCCGGGGTCAACGTGACTCTGACGTGCCGGGCGCCCCAGCCCGCCTTGAGATTCGTGCTCAAGCTGGGAGAGGGCCTCCCGGTGCAGTACCAGTACCCCCAGTACCTGGACGGACCCCAGGCAATGGCCCAGTTCCTCCTGGAGGCGGTGACCACGGCGCAGGGCGGCAGTTACCGCTGCGAGTACCTCAGCCGGGACTGGTCCCAGCCCAGCGACGCCCTGGAGTTGACGGTGACAGGTGAGGGCGAGGCGGGAGCTGATGGTGACAGGTGAGGGCCTGGCAGGAGCTGATGGTGACAGGTGAGGGCGGGGCGGGAGCTGATGGTGACAGGTGAGGGCCTGGAGGGAGCTGATGGTGACAGGTGAGGGCCTGGAGGGAGCTGATGGTGACAGGTGAGGGCGGGGCGGGAGCTGATGGTGACAGGTGAGGGCGGGGCGGGAGCTGATGGTGACAGGTGAGGGCGGGGTGGGAGCTGATGGTGACAGGTGAGGGCGGGGTGGGAGCTGATGGTGACAGGTGAGGGCGGGGTGGGAGCTGATGGTGACAGGTGAGGGCCTGGAGGGAGCTGATGGTGACAGGTGAGGGCCGGGCGGGAGCTGATGGTGACAGGTGAGGGCCTGGCGGGAGCTGATGGTGACAGGTGAGGGCCTGGAGGGAGCTGATGGTGACAGGTGAGGGCCTGGAGGGAGCTGATGGTGACAGGTGAGGGCGGGGCGGGAGCTGATGGTGACAGGTGAGGGCCTGGAGGGAGCTGATGGTGACAGGTGAGGGCCTGGAGGGAGCTGATGGTGACAGGTGTGGGCGGGGTGGGAGTTGATGGTGACAGGTGAGGGCCTGGAGGGAGCTGATGGTGACAGGTGAGGGCATGGCGGGAGCTGATGGTGACAGGTGTGGGCGGGGTGGGAGTTGATGGTGACAGGTGAGGGCCTGGAGGGAGCTGATGGTGACAGGTGAGGGCATGGCGGGAGCTGATGGTGACAGGTGAGGGCGGGGCGGGAGCTGATGGTGACAGGTGAGGGCCTGGAGGGAGCTGATGGTGACAGGTGAGGGCGGGGCAGGAGCTGAGGGTGACAGGTGTGGGCGGGGTGGGAGCTGATGGTGACAGGTGAGGGCCTGGAGGGAGCTGATGGTGACAGGTGAGGGCATGGCGGGAGCTGATGGTGACAGGTGAGGGCGGGGCGGGAGCTGATGGTGACAGGTGAGGGCCTGGAGGGAGCTGATGGTGACAGGTGAGGGCCGGGCGGAGCTGATGGTGACAGGTGAGGGCCTGGAGGGAGCTGATGGTGACAGGTGAGGGCATGGAGGGAGCTGATGGTGACAGGTGAGGGCATGGAGGGAGCTGATGGTGACAGGTGAGGGCATGGCGGGAGCTGATGGTGACAGGTGAGGGCGGGGTGGGAGTTGATGGTGACAGGTGAGGGCCTGGCGGGAGCTGATGGTGACAGGTGAGGGCCTGGAGGGAGCTGATGGTGACAGGTGAGGGCATGGAGGGAGCTGATGGTGACAGGTGAGGGCCTGGAGGGAGCTGATGGTGACAGGTGAGGGCGGGGCGGGAGCTGACGGTGACAGGTGAGGGCAGGGTGGGAGCTGATGGTGACAGGTGAGGGCCTGGAGGGAGCTGATGGTGACAGGTGAGGGCCTGGAGGGAGCTGATGGTGACAGGTGAGGGCGGGGCGGGAGCTGATGGTGACAGGTGAGGGCCTGGCGGGCGGGACCTGATGGTGACAGGTGAGGGGGGGAGGGGGAGGGGGGGCTGGGAGGGTCCCAGAGGCTTAGGCCTGCGTGTACACACACACACACACACACACACACACACACACACACACACGAGGGAGGGAGGGAGGAGGGAGGGAGGGGAGGGAGGGAGAGAGAGAGAGAGAGAGAGAGAGAGAGAGAGAGAGAGAGAGAGAGAAAGGAGGAGGGAAGGAGGGAGGGAGGGAAGGAAGAGAAGGAAGGAGGGAGGAGGAGGGAAGGAAGGAGGGAGGAGGGAAGGAAGGAAAGAAGGGAAGGAGGAAGGAAGGAAAGTTTTCAGCTGGGGCGTTTGTGCGCCCCCCGCCCCCGCCCCAGCTCGGCCGGGCCTGGGCCCTCCCCGTGGAGCCCAAACAGCCCCCCGCGCGCCTGCACTGCGGCCTCCACAACCGAGCGGCCGGCGCCCAGCGGAGGGAGAGACAGAGACGGGAGAGGAGGGGGACGTGCCCCTGGGGCGCGGGGCGCGGGGAGCCGGCGGGAGGTGAAGGAGAGCACCCGCCTCTCAGGCACCGGCGGGGATAGGGGAGGAGGGGGCGCTCCGGGGGCCCGGGCAGGGCGCCCACCGCCCCGCCGCCCTCCCTCCCGCCGCAGAGCTCCTGCCGCGCCCGTCGCTGGAGGCGCTGCCCGGGGCCCCGCTGAGCCTGCGCTGCACCGGCCGCGCCGGCAACATGAGCTTCGCGCTGTACCGCGCGGGCGAGGCGCCGCCGCTGCAGGTGCGCCAGTCCGCGCTGCCCTGGGCCGACTTCCCGCTGCCCCGCGCCCGGGCGCCCGGCACCTACACCTGCTACTACCACACGCCCGCCGCGCCCTACGTGCTGTCCCCGCGCAGCGAGCCGCTGGTCATCAGCCCGGAGGGTGAGGCCCCCCGTATCCCCTCCATCCCCATCCCAATCACCCACCGCCATCCCCATCCCCACCCCCATCCCATCCCCACCCCCTCCCCATCCCCATCCCCATCCCCACCCCCATCCCCACCCCATCCCCACCCCCCCCCCCCATCCCCATCCCCATCCCCATCCCCACCCCCATCCCCACCCCATCCCCATCCTCCATCCCCCATCCCCATCCCCATCCCATCCCCATCTCCATCTCCATCTCCATCTCTCCATCCCCATCCCACCCTCATCCCATCCCCATCCCCACCCCCATCCCCATCCCCACCCCCATCCCCACCCCCATCCCCCCCCTCCCCCATCCCCACCCTCATCCCCATCCCCACCCCCCATCTCCATCCCCACCCCATCACCATCCCCATCCGCACCCCCACCCCCATCTCCATCCCCTCCCCCCCATCACCATCCCCATCCCCATCCCCAGCCAACCCACCTCCTCCCTGACTCTCCTCCCTGCCCCCAGTCTCCTCTCTCAGACCCAGGAATTCAGGCCCCCAGCCCTCCTCCCTCAGGCCCAGGAGTCCAGGCCCCCAGCCCCTCCTCCCTCAGACACAGAAGCCCAGGCCCCCAGCCCTCCTCCCTCAGACCCAGGAGTCCAGGCCCCCCTCCTCCTCCCTCAGACCCAGGAGCCCAGGCCCCAGCCCTCCTCCCTCAGACCCAGGAGTCCAGGCCCCCCTCCTCCTCTCTCAGACCCAGGAGCCCAGGCCCCAGCCCTCCTCCCTCAGACCCAGGAGCCCAGGCCCCCAGCCTCCTCCCTCAGACCCAGGGGGCCCCCAGCCTCCTCCCTCAGACCCGGGAGTGGAGCTCTCCCACCCTCGCTTGGAGGGACTGGGTCCCCCTCATCCCGGAGGCCGGAGCCCTCGGCGGGACGCTGACACCCGCTCCCTTGCCCCCGCAGGCTCGGGCCCCGTGGACTACACCCAGGGCAACACGGTGCGCCTGGCGCTGGCGGGGCTGGTGCTGCTGGCGCTGGCCCTGCTGCTGGGCTGGGAGTGGCGCGACTGGCGACGGGCGGCGGGCCGGGGCCCGGGGGGCCTGGAGCTCGGCCCCGCGGCCTGAGGCGGCGCCCCGAGGGCAGAGGCAGCAGGACGCCCGGCTGAGCCCAGCGCCCCCCAGTAACAGTGACCACCGCCTCTGTCCCGCCCGCGGCCTGGCCTCTTCCCCTGGGCCCTTTGTCCAGGCCTCCGGGATCCGCGCCCGGTCCGGGTTCGAGCCCCAGCACTGCTGCTCACCCACCGTGTGCCAGCAGGAAGGCGGCCCCCTGCGCCTCGCTCTCCCTGGCTGTGCCATGGGCGTTCTGCTACTGCTCAGCTCTGGGACCTGGAGGGTGAAGGGGACATGACGCCGGCAGCATTGTAAACAGTGACAGGCCCGTAGCAAATGCTCAGGGTTAGCGACTGTGTAACGGATTCCTATCCAAGTCTTGTGGTTTTGCCGAAACCGGGTTGGCTCAGTGGATAGAGCGTCGGCCTGCGGACTGAAAGGTCCCAGGTTCGATTCCGGTTAGGGGCATATGTGCCCTGGTTGCGGGCACATCCCCAGTGGGGAGTGTGCAGGAGGCAGCTGATAGATGTTTCTCTCTCATCAATGTTTCTAACTCTCTATCTCTCTCCCTTCCTCTCTGTAAGAAATAAATAAAAAAATATATATAATTTTAAAAAAATCGCAGCTTCATTTGCTTGAGCCGTCATTTTCGTTAAGCGGGAGTCCGTTGCCATGGCAATAGCAAGCAGTGTGTGTGCAGTAGAACCCTGAGCCTTGGCAGGGACACGGTAAACCTCAGCTGGTCTGCTGGGGGCTGCCCTCAGGGCTGAGTTAAAACCAGCGCAGCCTGTTTGCTCTCCTTGTCTGGCCTCTGGACTTCGCAGGCCCGGCTACATGCAGTCTCTTCTGAATCCATTACTCGAAGTTCTGTGTCCATCTGCCAACATCCATGCCTTCCCATGGACCCCCTGGGGCACGCCAAGCAGGCAGGCTCTCCCTCGGCTGAGAATCTACTTATTTGGGCTTCGTTTAAAATAATTGGCTAAGTACACGGAAAAGGCTCTTTTGTTTATTGCATCGGACTCGGCTCCCTGGTGGTCCTTGGGGATCACGAAGTCTGGGGGTAACAGGGCCAGGGTGGTCTAGAAGAGGTTAATGGGGGGAGGGGGGAGATGGGGCACATGTAATACTTTCAACAATAAAGATTTTAAAATAATAATAAAATTAATATTATATGTAACCTTTATGAAGCTTTCCTGATGAGCTTCTTTCCGGTCTCCAAAACACATTGTACTCCATGCTAGCTGTATTTGATAAATCCATGTTCTTTCAGGGGTCCTTGTTTTTTGCACACCTCTAAGCCCTTGAATTTGACATTCTTTTTTTTTTTTCTCTCTCTCCAGGTGAATCATTATTGCACAAGCCTTACTATAATTATAATACTCATAGTAACACTTGCCAACACACAACTTCTGGATTAAGTCTCTTAACTCTTTCTGTGGGGATCTCTTAGTTCTCCCTATAGCTCATGGGATTAATTTATGAACCAAGGGATAAACATATTAATTAAAAACTATGGAGAAAAAAAATAAATAAAATTAAATAAAATAAAATAATTGGCTAAGTAAACATTTGCGTTGGAGAACAGTGGTCACAGTGTTTTATTGGCCTAGAGCCGTGGTGGGCAAACTCATGAGTCCACAGAGCCAAATATCAACAGTACGACGATGGAAGTGTCTTTGGAGAGCCACATTTTTTAAACTTAAACTTCTTTTAACACCACTTCTTCAACATAGACTCGCCCAGGCCGCGGTATTTTGTGGAAGAGCCACACTCAAGGGCCCAAAGGGCCGCATGTGGCTCGCGAGCCGCAGTTTGCCGACCACGCCCCTAAGAGAAAAACGAAGTAAGCCAATTCTCAATGCAGGTTAAGGGGGACGTGGGCATACGTGGAGGGTTTCTGCAGAAAGGCTTTTGAAGAAAATCTTTATGTTTTAAATGTTATTTATATATTTTTATTGATTTCAGAGAGGAAGGGAGAGGGAGAGACAGAAATATCAACGATGAGAACCATTGACCGGCTGCCTCCTGCATGCCCCACACTGGGGATCGAGCCTGCAACCCAGGCATGTGGCCTTGAACCCCCAGTCCACAAGCCTACGCTCTATCCACTGAGCAAAACCAGCTAGGGCTAATACTATTTACTACTATTATTATTATTATTATTATTATTATTAAAGAGGGGGGAAGGGCCGGGACCGGTTTGGCTCAGTGGATAGAGCGTCGGCCTGGGGACTGAAAGGTCCCGGGTTTGATTCCGGTCAAGGGCATGTACCTTGGTTTCAGGTGCATCCCCAGTAGGGGGTGTGCAAGAGGCAGCTGATCAATGATTCTCTCTCATCGATGTTTCTAACTTCTATCCCTCTCTCTTCCTCTCTGTGAAAACTCAATAAAATATATTTAAAAAAAAAAAATAAAGAGGGGGGAGGTTTTAATCTTGTGTTCCCGGGCGAAACTCACTGGTCCGAGGGTGGGCCAGGGAAGTTCACCCTAATACTGTTTTGTAACTGATTTTTGTTGTTAATCCTCACCTGAGGATATTTTCCTGTTGATTTTTACGAAGAGAGAGGGAAAGACAGAGAGGAACATCGATGAGAGAGAAACACATCGACTGGTTGTCTCCTGCATGCAGGGCTCTGGCCGAGGAGGAGCCTGCAACCAAGGTACGTGCCCTTGACTGGAATCGGGGGCCCTTTGGTCCACAGGCCATTGCTCTATCCGCAGAGCCACACCGGCGAGGGCCCTTCATGGACTCTGATGTCCATGAGCCAGGACCGTACTTGTCAGGTTTCTCTCTGAAAAGCTCAGACGCCTCAGCCCTGCCTTCCTGCATGTCTCCCATCTGTACAGTCTCTGGTTCAGCCACGCCCATCATCTTTCCAGTGGAGACCAGTAGCGAGGCCAGAATTTCAGCGCTGATGTAGGAAAGAGATGTGGCCACTAGGTGGCAGTAAGCGCACAACGTTCAGTCTCTCTGCACAGTCACCTGGCCGTCCTCCTCCACTGGGCTTTGTCAATGCTGTTCCCTCTGCCTGGAACACCCTTCCAGCCCCTCTTCGCCTAGTTAACGTCTGCCCAACTTTCAAACCTTACATCACTTCTTCAGCCAAGCCGTCAGCGGTCTCCCTGCTTAGCTCAGACCCTCCAATGACAGGCTTTCAAAACGTTTTCTCTTTGCTATAGTTGCAGGGATGGATATGGCTAATGGTTTCCCAGCATCCCAATTTCCCGTCTTCCTTTAGCAAAGAGAAAACTCCTTTCCCATTTTTGGAAGGAGACACGCCTGTATCCCACCTCCTCAACCCCCACTTCTGCTGCTAGACCTTCCCTCTCCACCTCCCTCCTTACCCATGGCCTCAGAACCAGATTTCAAACCTATGTTCTGATAAAAAGCAAAGCTGTTTATCGATACACTGTTAAGTGAGAGAAGTTAAATTAGATCTAGTGTTCTTTTCTTGGGGTGTCTTTCTCACCCCAGCTTCAAGTGCTCCCTGATCAACACAGCGAGCTGTCATTTGGTTCCTGCTACGGTTTCTCTGTGAGCCACATGGGAGTAGGGTTCATGTCTGCTGTCACTCCCCACTGGGTCCCCAGCACCTGGCGCGGTGCCTGGCACACTGAGGGCCTTAAATTAATGTGTGAAAAGTGGACAAGGAGGGGCAGGGACAACAGTAGAAGTCCCCAGGGTGAGTCCCTGGGTATGTGGGATAAAAGGGACAACACAAGTGAGCTAACAGTCTTCATTATTCTTTCTTTTTTAAATTCTCACATGGGGATACATTTATTGCTTTAGAGAAAGAGGAAGGAGGGAGGGGGAGGAAGAAAGAGAGAGAGGGAGGGAGGGAGGAAAAAGGGAGGGAGGGAAGGAGAGGGAGAAAATATCAATGTGAGAGGGAAACATTAATTCGCTGCCTCCTGTACATGCCCCAACCAGGGACTGAATCTGAAATCTAGGTATTTGCTTTGACTGGGAATTGAGCCTGAAATTTTTTAATGCATGAGACAAAACTCTAACCAACTGAGCCACCTGGCCAGAGCAGTGTTTTTCTCACACACACACACACACACACACACACACACACACGCTAACTGTCCAACCATTTGACTGGTAGCTGACACACCCTGACCACAAGGGGGCAGAGGCTCAATGCACAGGCATGGAAACAGAACAGACTGATGAATCTCAGATGGTAGGGGGTAGGGGGGATGGCGGGAAGAGATTAACCAAAGATCTTATGTGCATACCCCAGTGGGTCTCTCGGCCTGGCCTGCAGGGATCTGGACAAAATCAGCAGTCCGATATCCCCCAAGGGGTCCCAGATTGGGAGAGGGCACAGGCCAGGCCGAGGGACTTCACTGGTGCACCAATCCATGCAAGGGACCTCTAGTATATTGTGTGTGTGTATGTGTGTGTGTGTGTGTGTGTGTGTGTGTGCGTGCGCACTGAGCGGCCACATTATTACGCGTCCAGAGATCATAATAATCTGGCCACTCAGTGTGTGTGTGTGTGTGTGTGTGTGTGTGTATAATAGGCAAGAGTTTTCAGGGGAAACAGCATCTAATCTGAGAGGAAGGGAGCGGGAGAGAGAAACATCAACGATGAGAATCACTGATTGGCTGCCTCCTGCCTGTCTAATGGGGATTGAGCCCGCAACCCAGGCATGTGCCCTTGACCAGAATCCAACCAGGATCCTTCAGTCTGCAGGCCGATGCTCTATCCACTGAGCCACACCATGTTGGACTGTGCCTCCTTACAAGGACCTTAGTGATGACATTAAACCCACCCAGATAACTCAGGATGCTCTCCCTGTCTCATGAGTTTTCATTTAATCACACCTCGAAGTCCCTTTTGCCAGATATAACATCCACAGGGTTCTGGAAACTGGCACTTCACATGGTCAGCAGAACCACTATTCTGCCTACCACGGAAGGGCAAAGTACGGAGCCTGCTTATGGCATCCTCAGCGTGGAGAGCTCATGCAGCCACACTGGGCATGTCTCCCACGCCCTGGGGATATAGGGATAAAACAACATGGTCCCCTGGGAGGAGCTCATGGTCTGGTGCAGGAGAAAGTCAGAATACAGTACATTAGCTCAGGCCAGTGTGGCTCAGGTGGTTGGGCATTGTCCCATGCACAGAAAGGTTGCCAGTTCGATTCCCAGTCAGGGCACATGCCCGGGTTTCAGACTTGACCCACAGTAGGGGGTGCTGCAGGAGGCAGTGATCAATGTTTGCTCTCACATCTATGTTTCTCTCTCCCCCCTCCCCTACTCTTTCAAAATAAAATTTTTACAAAAGAATACAACACGCTAAGTACTCAGGGTGTGATAAGGCACCAGGGAAGCACACATGAGTCAGGCAAGAGTTTTCAGGGGAAACAGCATCTAATCTGAGACCGGAAGGGTGAGTAGTTAGCCAGGCAAGCGGGAATCGAGAGCAGAGACCAACTCGGAGCCTTCCTGGATGACGAATAAAAGGAACCACTGCCTCGAAGATCATAACCTCCTCCTCACTCAGAAATGAAAGTGAAAGAGGAGACTAAAGCCAGTAAAACCCGGAAGTCTTGACTCAAACTGGAAGAGGTTTGTGGTGTTGTGTAGTAGTTGTTTCTAAGAGGCAGCCACAGGGAGAAAAAGAAACCCAACAGGTTAAAGTCCTGTATGGCTCTTAGAAGACTGACATCGCGTGTGGATGGCCAGGCGGCAAAGACTGGGATGGAGACATGGTCCATGGTAGACGGTGAAATCTGCATTATGGCTGCTATCCACTCAATAAACATTCATTGGACACTTTGCTCATCACAAGTGCTGCCAAAACAAGTGAAACTCACAAGAACGTTGTAAATTACCTTGTTTACCTCTGACCATAAAATAAAGCAGCAGCCTGCAGTCTGGATCTTTTCTGTGGTCCCAGTCATGCACAGAAGATCCACCTAGACCCAGCTTCTTCTCTTTGTCTGTCTTTTCATCATCCTTCGCCAGCTCTCCTGCAGACTCGCCAAACCCTTGGCTGTGCTGGTGCGGCACACCAGAGCTCTCTCTTCTCCCTGGCCCTGGGACCAGCCATGTTGGAAGTGTTGGCCGCTCCATCGGACTCAGAGCCTGAGTGACAGGGACGTGAACAGATGTCCCCTGCCTGATGTCATACAACAGCCTCCCTGCCCCTCCTGGCTCCGGGCACGTAGCTCCCTGCCAGGAACCCACCCGTGTTACCAGGTTTATGGACATCTGTCTCAGCCAACTGGGGTTTTTAGAGCAAAGTACTGCAGACTGGGTGCAACAGCAGCTCATTTCTCACAGTTCAGGAGGCTGGGATGTCCGGGGTCAGGGTTCTGGTGAGCTTGTAGACAGTGCTTTCTGTTGTACCCTCACATGTGGGGGGAGAGGGGGGAGAAGAGGGAGAGAAGAAAGAAAGTAGGGAGGAAGGGAGAAGAAGAGAGAGATCTTTGTTGTCTTCCAATGGGGATCGAGGCTGCAACCTAGCCTGCAACCTGGGCATGTGCCCTTGACTGGAATCAAACCCAGCATCCTTCAGTCCGCAGGCCAATGCTCTATCCACTGAGCCACACCAGCTAGGGCCTTGGGCTCTTCTTTTAGCAAAGAGATTGAGTATTTTGTCCTATTTAAATTAGCGCATCTGTTAAATGCGCCTCCAATATCTCCATTTTGAGGATTTGGATTTTATTTTTATTTTTTTTAAAATATATTTTATTGATTTTTCACAGAGAGGAAGAGAGAGGAATAGAGAGTTAGAAACATCGATGAGAGAGAATCATCGATCAGCTGCCTCTTGCACACCCCCTACTGGGGATGCGCCCGCAACCAAGGTACATGCCCTTGACCGGAATCGAACCCGGGACCCTTCAGTCCCCAGGCCGACGCTCTATCCACTTGAGCCAAACCGGTCCCGGGGATTTGGATTTTAATTTTTTTAAACTGACAGAGCCTAGCTGGCATGGCCAGTGGTTGAGCATCGTCTCATGCAACAAGAGGTCACTGGTTCGATTCCTGGTCAGGGCACATACTCAGTTGTGGGCTTGATCCCCAGTAAAGGGCATGCAAGAGGCAGCAAATCTATACTCCTCCCTCATGGATATTTCTCTCCCCCCCCTTCATTTCTCCCTAAAAATATCCATAAAAACATTAAAAAAGAGAATGAAGATTAAAAATCAATTATTTAAAAAGACTGATAGAAAGGACATTTCTTAGGTCATTGGAGAAATTTGTATGCTGACTGGATGGTAGTGCTGGGGCTCAGTTCTCCCAGTACCTATCCTGCTGGGGCTCAGTGCTACCGATACCAATCCTCCTGGGGCTCAGGGCTCCCGGTACTGATCCTCCTGGGCTCAGTGCTGCCAGTACCGATCCTCCTGGGGCTCAATGCTGCCAGTACTGATCCTCCTGGGGCTCAGTACTCCCAGTACCAATCCTCCTGGGGCTCAGTATTCCCAGTACTGGTACCAATCCCGCTGGGGCTCGGTATTCCCAGTACCGATCCCGCTGGGGCTCAGGGCTTCCAGTACCAATCCTGCTGGAGCTCAGTACTCCCACTACCTATCCCACTGGGGCTCAGTATTCCCAGTATCAATCCTGCTGGGGCTCAGTATTCCCAGTACTGGTACCAATCCCGCTGGGGCTCAGAGCTGCCAATACTGATCCTGCTGGAGCTCAGTATGGCTGGTCCCTAATATTGTGGTACTTAGTACTGACTGAGCTTTAGGGGCTAGCAAAGAGCACACACTTCACAGTTATTTCCCAACAGTCAAAGGGGCTGAGGTATCCCTATGTCCACTCGCGGCCGATGTTGCTGAAGGGCTGCTCCTGGTCCGGAAGTCCCAGCACTTCCAGAGGGCCACGGACTTGGACCACGTACTCGTGCATTCACCGGTGGCTTCCTGCTATGTGCCCTGACCGGGACCGAACCCTGACCTCCTGGTACGTAGGCCGATGCTCCACCACTGAGCCTCACGGGTCGGGCAATGAGTACTCCCTCTTAGCTTTCCTTTCCAGGGTCCGTTTTCTCCTCCCCCCACCGATGACATCACAACGCCTCATCTCTCTGCTATCGGCTCTGGCCCAGCTGCAGCCCGCCGACGTTCCCGAGGGGCATAGCTCTGAGCTTGTACCGGTCACGTCCACGCAAGGCCTGCTGACCAGAGACACGGAGTTGCTCTGCTGGCAGCCATAGGTCCAGCTGAATTCCCTCCCCAGGTAAAAGGGGACAAGGGCCATAAAATAATCCTGTGCGCAGGTTCTCACGTACTGCGCGCACTTGCTGCGCACGTGCCTTAGCGCTGCCTAGGTGGGCTCTGCGGCCAGGGCCTCTGCGTCAGGCCTGTGGGAAGTGGCTTGACAGGGTGTTGTAATAAATAGCCCCAACTTCCTGATTTTGACTGCGAGGCAGAAACCGGGGGTATATCTACCCGGGGAGGATTAAAAACGGTGCTGTTTTTGCATATCTGGGAGCCAAGAGACCATTTTTGACAAACAGCAAAACTCAAGCAAGTTCCTTGGAAGAGGCTTTGGGGGCCGCCATGACCCTCCCGTTCCTGGCTCTGCTCTGCGTTGGTAAGTGTGGGCAGGGGAGGGCCGCTGAGGGTGGTGACGAGTTGGGCTATGGAGGCAACTGGGATTGGGGCGACTTGTGGGCCTCAAGCCCAGTAGTAATGGGGTTGGTGGGTGTGCAAAGAGCAGACACTTTCATTCCCCGAATACCTATTACGGACATGTCACATGTCTGTATACTTTTTTGCTGTTAATCCTCACTCGAGGACATTCTCCCCATTGATTTTTAGAGAGAGTGTAAAGGAGGGAAGGCTGGGGAGAAAGAGAAGCATTGATGTGAGAGAGACTCATCGATTGGCTGCCGCCCCGCACATGCCCAAACCCAGATGGGAATTGAACCTGCAACCCAGGTTCATAAATCAAACCTGGACCCTTCAGTTCTCAGGCTGACACTCTAACCCCTGAGCAACACCAGCAGGGGCTCATGTCTGTGCTCTTTCATGAGGGATATTCTTCTTCAAATTGTTCTGGTTTTTATTCTTTAAATTTTTACTGATTGATTTATTTTAAAATATATTTTATTGAAGAGAGGGAGAGAGAGGGAGAGATAGAAACATGAATGATGAGAGGGAATCATTGACCAGCTGCCTCCTGCACACCCCTTACTGGGGATCAAGCCGGCAACCTGGGCATGTGCCATGACCAGGAATCGAACCATGACCTCCAGGTTCATGGGTGTTGTCGCTCAAAGGCCGGGCCATTGATTTATTTTAGAGAATGAAAGGGGGAGGGGCGGGAGAGAGAGAGAGGGAAATCTGTTGTTCCACTTATTTCTGCATCCATTGGCTGATTGTTGTATGTGCCCTGACCAGGGCTTGAACCTTGGCATATTGGATCGATGCTCTACTGAGCCACCAGCCAGGTCATATTTTGTTTTTATTTTATTTAATTAATTTATTTATTTTAATATTGATTTTTTCAGAGAGGAAGGGAGAGAGATAGAGACTAGAAACGTTGATGAGAAACATCGACCAGCTGCCTCTTGCACACCCCCTACCGGGGATGTGCCCGCAACCAATGTACATGCCCTTGACCGGAATCGAACCCAGGACCTTTCAGTCCGCAGACCGACGCTCTACCACTGAGCCAAGCCGGCTTCAGCCATGTATTATTTTTAGGCTCAAAGCTATTTTAAAGATTTGCAATAGAAAATCAATATCCTTCATCAAAAATAGAATATAGTTGCCAGTAGTCAATGAGGGAAACAGTATGATTAAGTTTTAATAACTACTGCTCCTGACTGTAGACACTGGGCCACAGTTTCCCCAGTCATCTTTTCCTAAGAGAGATGAGTGAACACAAGAAATGGCTTGGAGCCGTGGCCGGGTAGCCCGGTTGGTTAGAGCGTCATCCTGATACGCCCATGTTGTGGGTTTGATCACCGATCAGGGCACGTACAAGAATCAACCGATGAATGCACAGATAAGTGGGACAACAGATGGCTGTTTATCTCGCTCTTAAAACAATAAATAAAAATTAAAATAAAAAGAAAATGGGTTGGAAACTCGTATCCAGCTATGGTATTCTTCTGTGATCAAGACAGAGACAGGCCCCGGTTGGGTGGCTCAGTTGATTGGAGCATTGACCCACACACCAAAAAGGTTTCTGCTTTCCCAGTCAGGGCATATACCTAGGTTGTGGGTTTGATCCCCAGTCAGTGTGCATATGGGGAGGGGGGGACCAATCAACGTTTCTCTCTCACATCAGTGTGTTTTCTCTCTTTCTAAAAATCAATGTGAGGATGAAAAGACGAGAGACAGAATGAGAACTTTCTCACACAGAGTCAATGTTAATCCTGTGTCTTTGTACAACCTCAAGTTACATGTCTTAGAAGAATTCTGCAGAATAGTCACATCCCCTTTTTGCCTGAGGGGAATCTGAGGCTGAAAACAGATGTGACACAGGAAGCCACTTGGCCACTGAAGGGAGAAGTTCAATCCAAACGCGGGTCTGCACAGTTCCAGAGACAGCACGTTCCCACCGAGCCAGGCTGGGGGATGTCAAAGGTCATGATTTTGTGGGCAGGTGGCTGGAGCGTTGTCCAATGCACCAAAAGGTCTCTGGTTCCGTTTCTGGTCGGGCCACATACCCAGGTTTTGGGTTTGTTTCCGGGTTGGGACGCATGCAGGGGCAAATGCTTCTCTCTCTCAAATCAATAAGCATATAAAAATGCCAGAAGAATAAGAATAAAAGGTGGTAGCTTGGGGTGGAAAGATTCGGAGGGTGCATGGAGGGAGCCATGGCTGGGAAAACCTAGAGCAAGGAGGTGACAGAGGACCCGACGGGGGAGGTGACAGAGCACCCGATGGGGGGGGGTGATAGGGGGCCCGATAGGGGAGGTGACAGAGCACCCGATGGGGGAGGTGACAGCGGACCCGATGGGGGGGGTGATAGGGGGCCCGATGGGGGAGGTGACAGAGCACCTGATGGGGGAGGTGACAGAGGACCCGACGGGGGAGGTGACAGAGCACCCGACGGGGGAGGTGACAGAGCACCCTATGGGGGAGGTGACAGCGGACCCGATGGGGGAGGTGACAGAGGACCCGATGGGGGAGGTGACAGAGCACCCGATGGGGGAGGTGACAGCGGACCCGATGGGGGAGGTGACGGGACCCAATGGGGGAGGTGACAGAGCACCCGTTGGGGGAGGTGACGGGTCCCGATGGGGGAGGTGACGGGACCCGATGGGGGAGGTGATGGGACCCGATGGGGGAGGTGACAGAGCACCCGACGGGGGAGGTGACAGAGCACCCGACGGGGGAGGTGACAGAGCACCCGACGGGGGAGGTGACAGCGGACCCGATGGGGGAGGTGACAGAGGACCCGATGGGGGAGGTGACAGAGGACCCGACGGGGGAGGTGACTGAGGACCCGACGGGGGAGGTGACAGAGGACCCGACGGGGGAGGTGATTGAGGACCCGACGGGGGAGGTGACAGAGGACCCGACGGGGGAGGTGACTGAGGACCCGATGGGGGAGGTGACAGAGGACCCGACGGGGGGGTGACAGAGGACCCGACGGGGGAGGTGACTGAGGACCCGACGGGGGAGGTGACAGAGGACCCGACGGGGGGGTGACAGCGGACCCGATGGGGGAGGTGACGGGACCCGATGGGGGAGGTGACGGGACCCGATGGGGGAGGTGACAGAGCACCCGATGGGGGAGGTGACAGGGGACCCGATGGGAGAGGTGACAGGGAGCCCGATGGGGGAGGTGACAGAGGACCCGACGGGGGAGGTGACAGAGGACCTGATGGGGGAGGTGACAGAGGACCTGATGGGGGAGGTGACAGAGCACCCGATGGGGGAGGTGACAGGGGGCCCGATGGGGGAGGTGACAGAGGACCCGATGGGGGAGGTGACAGAGGACCCGACGGGGGAGGTGACAAGGGGCCCAATGGGGGAGGTGACAGAGGACCCGATGGGGAGGTGACAGAGCACCCGACGGGGGGGTGACAGCGGACCCGTTGGGGGAGGTGACAGCGGACCTGATGGGGGAGGTGACAGCGGACCCGATGGGGGAGGTGACAGAGGACCCGATGGGGAGGTGACAGAGGACCCGATGGGGGAGGTGACAGAGGACCCGTTGGGGAAGGTGACAGCGGACCTGATGGGGGAGGTGACAGCGGACCCGATGGGGGAGGTGACAGGGGACCCCATGGGCTCAGTAGGTGTTGGCGAGCTTCTTGGGTAGAGGGCCGAGGGGCAGAGGCTCTGTGGGCCACGGGGGCTCTGTACAAGCACTCACCACCTGGCAACATGGCCGCCGCCGAGGAGAGGGATCAGTGCTGGGAGGGACGTGCTGTAAGGGAACTGCTGGTGGAAATGTAAATTTGTGCGGCCACGGGGAAGTTCCTCCAAAAACTAAAAATAGGATTGCCACATGACCCAGCAATTTTGTTTCTGGGAACATATATCTGAGGGCGTGAAAACTGGACCTCACAGAGATATCTTCATCCCTATGTTCACTGCAGCATTTACAATAGCGAGAACACAGGAACAACCCGAGAGTCCATCAACAGATGCATGGCTGGAGGACTGAGAACTATCTACCCATCTGCCATGTAGCTAGGTAACATAATATTATTCAGCCGTGAGAAAGAGGAAACCATGTGGATGGAGCCTGGTGATATTATGCTAAGTGAGATAAGTCACACTGAGAGAACAGATACTGCCTGTTCCCATTCATATGGGGACCTCAACATGCTGAACTCACAGAAACAAAGAGAGGAATGGTGGTTACCAGGAGCTGTGTGTGTGTGAAAGAAAGAGAAAAATGGAAGATGTTGGTAAAAGGGTACAAACTTCCAGCTAGAAGATGAGTAAGTTCTGGGGGTCTGTTACACCAGCATGGCGACTAGAGTTAACGATAGTTTGTATTTGCAAGTTGCTGGGATGTGGCCCACTGTCCCTAGTAGAGAATCACTCCTCTCGCTAATCAGACGAGACCACCTACCTTGGTGTCTGAAGGCACACTTCTTGGGGCCAGTTTGGTCCAGAGCTGTAAGGACAGCCACCAGATGGGAAAGGTGGGGGACAAAGCATCACTCCTCCGCACCATACAGATTTTGGATTGTTGAGATTCGCTCTGGAGCACCAGGGAGGTAACCCATGGCCGATGGCAGAGCCAGAGACACGCAGGCATCCTCTGAGAGCAGGAAGGAACACCCGAGGGCAAAGGACCAGGTTTCCAGCAGCCGATGCCCTTGCACCTCTCTCTGCCTCCCAGATGCTGTGAGTGGGTATGGTGTTGTGCTGAGAGGGGTTTTGGGGAGATCATTGCTATTTCTGTTCATCAAAAATCTTTGTAAATGACCCTCCCTCCCGACTCGTAAGGCTTCAGGTCAGTCAACACAAAATTACCAAACCTTTGCTGAAACATAGGCACTGTCCCAGGCACCGAGGATATATTCTCTGCCCTCAAGGGGCGCAAGTCCTAGTGACTCCAGATATAAATTTCCCCAAGGGCATGAGGAGTTAATAGGTGTCAGTGAAACCAAGGTGTCTTTTCCAAATGGCTTTTGTCGCCAGTGATGTCTCTCAGTCTAGAATCGACAGCCCCAGAGGAGAGGGGAGAGTCCTTTGCCCTCTACAATGTTGACACACCAGGAGACACCTCAGCGACCATTTGGGGTGACAGAGACATTCAGAGATAGTCGTGTCCCTTGTCTCCTCCACCATGAAATCTAGAGACAACATGGCAAGATATGGTAAAAGAGAAAGATGGGTAAAGGATGGATGATGAATCAGAGGGAACGGGAGGTGGGGGAGGTAGGAGAGGGTAAAAGGGAGATGAGTGGTGGTGGAAAGAGACTTGACTTGAGTTGGTGAACACACGATATAATATACTGATGATGCACTGTAGAATTGTACCCATGAAACCTATATAATTTTATTAACCAACTAGAGGCCCAGGGCACAAAATTTGTGCATGGTGGGGGGGGGGGTCCCCCTAAGCTCAGCCTGCACCCTCTCACAATCTAGGACTGCTGGCTCCTAACTGCTCAACTGCCTGCCTGCCTGATCGCCACTAACTACCTCTGGCTGCCTGCCTGATTGCCCCTAACTGCCCCCCCTGCCAGCCTGATCGCCCATAACTGACCCCCCCCTCCCCTTGCTGGCCTCGTTGCCCCTATGCGCTGCCCCCTCCCCCTGCCAACCTGATCACCCCTAACCACCTCTGCCTTCGGGTCTGGTTGCCCCCAACTGCCCGCCCCCCCACCCCGCCAGCCTGGTCGCCCCATGCAGCCTGCTGTCCAGTCATTTGGTCACCCCATACAGCCTGATGTTCCGTCATTGCATGAGGGTGTCCCAGCCAATATGCACATTCTCTATTATTAGTATAGCTGTCATCCTAATAAATTCAATGAAAAAGGATGAATGATGGGGAGAAGTGGATCAGTTCTGGAGGAAAATAGCAAGACCATCAACATCATGAGGGCATTGTGAGAGGAGAGGAACCTGGGACGAGAGAGAAAGGAATAGACACTGAGTAGCAGGCTCCCCGAAGATGTCTGCGTCCTGATTGCCAGAATCTGTGAATATGTCTCCTTCGGTGGCAAAGGAGAACTGAGGTGGAAGATGGGCCCAAAGTTGCTCAGCAGATGACCCTAGAGAGAGGATCCTGAATTATCTGGTTGGCAGAAGAGAAAGTCGGACTCGACCAACCTTTGCTGGGTGCAAAGATGTGGGGAGAGGCGCCCTAGCCAGTTTGGTTCAGTGGATAGAGTGCTGGCCTGTGGATCGAAGGGTTTTGGGTTCTGTTCTGGTCAAGGGCACATGCCTTGGTTGCAGGCTCCTCCTCAGCCTGGGGCCTGGGCAGGGCACATGCAGGAGGCAACCAATTGATGTGCTTCTCTCACATGGATATTTTCCTCTCTCTAAAATAAACGGAAAAAATATCCCCAGGTGAGAATAAAAATAAAAATAAAAATAAAAAAAAGATGGGAAAGAGGCCACAAGCCAATGCAAGCATGTCTAGAAACTAAGGAAGGCAGGGGATGGATTCTCCCACCCATGCCTCCAGAAGGAATGCAATCCTGCCAACATCATCATTTTGGCCAGTGAGACTGAGATGCTGGCTTTCTCACACGGACCAAACGGCAGGATGAGACAGTGTGCTGTGATGAGCCAGGATCTGTGTGGTAATTGGTTAGAGCAGCCCCAGCTGCTAACAGAAGCTGCGAACAGACTGTGATGGCAGCTGGGTTCTCGGGGAGGGTGTTGGGACAGAAGGAGAACAGGATGATGAGAGGTCCGTTCCCAGCAAAAGCCCTGGGTGGTCCTCGGGGTCCAGGTCAGGGTAATGACGTGGGCTCCAGGCAGGAGCTTCTGTCTCATGACGGTTCCTTTGCAGGGCTGTGTGCTGGCCAAGATCTAAGAAGAGCTGGTGAGTGTTTCTCAAGGAAAGCCTTCCTTCTCCTTCGCTCCAAATCCCCTCACCCACCTCTTTCTTCAGAAGAGCAGGTGAGTGAATCAAGTCCAGCCTGGACTCTGCTTCCTTCCAGGGTCACTTCCCAGGCCCTCCATCCGTGCCTCACCCAGCTCCGTGGTTCCTGCCAATAGTACTGTGACACTGCGATGCTCCATTCCTTCTGGGAAAGTCAAGTTTGCTCTCAAAAAGAACAATGTTTCTTTGGAGTCTTCACCATCCTCAGGGGCCATGGCAGAGTTTCACCTCACTGACCTAAAAACCAGTAACGCTGGAGAGTACACCTGTGAATACAGGACAGAGAGCCCTACCAGAAGGTCACTGCTCAGTGATGTCCTTATCCTACTGGTGACAGGTGAGGAAGGGAGCTCACAATGACACACCATCTCCCTAGGACAGGAATGAGGGAGGATCCAGAGAATGAGAGAGGAGCAGGGGTCTCCCCTCCAGTGTGGATGGGGAGGTGAGATGGAGAAGGACAGGAGCAGAGCTGAGGGCCCTGCCTTCACCCAGGGCTTGTGGGAGGGACATCTCCTTTCTGGAGTCAGAGCAGAAAGAGGGTGAGGTCAGGTGTCTGTCACTTCCCACACTCCCTGGGGACCTGCCAGAACAACAAGCCTGAGTGGGGGACTCAAGGCTTCTGCCCATGACTCCTGAGCTTCCTTCTCTTACAGGAGAATTAGCTAAACCTTCCCTCCACGCCCACCACAGGGGTGAGGTGACTGCAGGAGAAAACGTGACTCTGCAGTGCCAGAAGCCCAAGCATGTGATTGGACCCCACATGTTTGCTCTACTGAAGGAAGGAACTTCAACACCCATAAAACTCCAGCGTGCAATAGGAATGGAGACAGACTTCTCCCTTCCCAGTGTGACAGGCAGTGACACTGGGAACTACAGCTGTGTGTACTACCTACCAAGGACTCCTTTCTGGACCTCACAGCCCAGTGATGGGCTCAGGATCTCAGTGACAGGTAAGGTTCTGACCATCACCGAGATGATGGCTGTGTTATCTGCCAGTGGACTTCCTGCCACCTGAGTACATCGGAGGGAGGTTCCATCCCTCCAGGACTCTGGGGCTTGGGAAAGTCATGTGGGGAGAGGAAGTCAGGGCCAGGATTTCGTGGAGGAATGGACAGGAACTTCTGCTAACAGAGAGAGAGTGAATAGTGGAGAATGACAAGACAGGAGGCGGGGGTTATCTGTGATACCTGGCCCTACAGGGAAAATAAGATCTAACCACAAAGTCACTCATTTAGACTGAAGTGTGAATGATGCATCCTAGAGTTATACAGTATGAGATTCCAGAAAGAAGGTAGAGGGGGAGGGAGAATAGGAAAGAGCCTTGGAAATACCTTTTTAAGACATACTCAGAGACCTCTGGAAAGATGTGTTTCATTTTCATTCTCTACCATCCATGCTTTTAGCTCAACCAAGTGTAGATTTTTTTCCCCTGCCTGGACTTTTTAAAGGGATGACTTTTTAAAAAACATATTTTATTGATTTTTTGCAGAGAGGAAGGGAGAGGAATAGAGGGAGAGGGTAGAGAACTAGAAACATCGATGAGAGAGAATCATTGACCAGCTGCGTCATGCACACCTCCCACTGGGGATGTGCCTGCAACCAATGTACATGCCCTTGATCAGAATTGAACTGGGACCTTTTAGTCTGCAGACCAACATTCTATCCACTGAGCCAAACCGGTTTCGGCTAAAGGGATGACTTTTTTAAAAAATGTGGTAAAAATGCATAATATGAAAGTTACCATTTTAACCACTTTTTAAAATTCTGGATTGTAAAGCTCTTTTATTTTTATTTAAAAAGGCTTTTGTGTTAATCCTCACCCAAGGATATTTTCCTCCATTGATTTTTAGAGCGAGTGGAAGAGAGAGGAAGACACACAGAGAGAAACATCGATGTGAGAGAGAGACATTGATTGGTTGCCTCAAGCACGCACTCCGACCAGGGAGGGCTGGGGATTGAGCCAGCAACTCCATGATCTCAACTGGAGTCAAACCTGGGACCTTCAGTCCTTGGGCTGATGTTTGAACCACTTGTCAACTGGCTACTGCTATCAAGCGTTTTTAAATTATACTTGATATACAATGTGTTAGTTTCAAGTGTACAACAAAGTGAGATTTTACATTTATATGCCTTACAAAGTGATCACCACAAAAAGTCCACTACATATCCGTCACCATACAAAGTTATTATGATACTAGAGGCCCGGTGCACGAAATTCGTGCATGGGTATGGTCCCTAGGCTTGGCTGGCAATCAGGGCTGATCAGGGCCTTCCTCCATTCTGTGCTGCTTCCCAGTCAGCGCACATCATAGAAGGCAGTCGAACTCACAGTCGGTCAAACTCCCGAGGGGACAATTCGCTTATTGGCCATTTATTATATAGGATTATTGGCTGCATCCTATGCTGTACTTTACATCCCCATGACTTCCTTATATGATAACTACAAGTTTGCACCTCGTAATCCCCTCCACCTTTTTTCCCATACTCTCATCACCCAACCCTCTGACAACTATCAGTTTTTCTGTATCTTATGAGTCTGTTTGTTTAGTTTGTTCATTTGTTTAGTTCTTTTAGATTCCACACATAAGTGAAATGATATGGTGTTTGTCTTTCTCTGATTTATTTCACTTAGCATAATACCGCTTAGGTCTATTCATGTTGTTACAATTGGCAGGATTCCATTCCTTACATGATTAATATTCCAGTGTGCCTTTGTGTACATACACACACACACACACACACACACACACGTATATATCTGCTTCTGCTTTGTCCATTCATATACTGATGAACACCTAGGTTGTTTCCATATTTTGGCTATCCTATATAATAAAATCCCAGCGACCAAATGGTGGAACGACCACTTGACCAGTTGCTATGCCAAGTACTGACCACCAGGGGGCAGATGCTCAAAGCAGGAGCTACCCGATGGTGGTCAGTGTGCTTCCACAGTGGGAGCACCACTCTGCTGACTGGATGAGCGGCTCTCCCACAGCAGGCCAATTCCTGTAGGCCATACCCCTGACCAGTGCACAAATCCTATGCACGGGGCCTCAAGTCCTGTATAATGAAAGGCTAATATGCAAATTGTCCCCTTGGTGAGGCAAGAAAACCCCCACTCCATCCTGGGGGAATGAGCAGCCCCAAAGAGAAAGAAGGGTGCTTTTCTCTGGTGCTATGATCTGAATGTCTCCCCCACATCCATGTGTTGAAATCCTAGTGCCCCAATGTGATGGTATTTGGAGGTACAGCCTCTGAGAGTGCTCAGGTCATGAGGGTGGAGCCCTCGTGAATGGGATTAGTGCCATTATATAATAGAAGAGACCCCAGGGAGCTCCCTGTCCAATTGTGCCATGTGAGGACAGAGGAAGTCTGCCTCCTAGAAGTCACCCTGACCTCTGACTTCCAACCTCCAGCACTGTGACTGGAAAGTGCCTGATGTTTGTAAATTGCCCAGCCTGTGGTATGTGTTTATGGGAGCCTGATGGCCTAGAGCAGTGGTCGGCAAACTGCGGCTCTAGAGCCGCATGCATCTCTTTGGCCCCTTGAGTGTGGCTTTTTTTTTTTTTTTTTTTTTTACAAAATACCACGGCCTGGGTGAGTCTATGTTGAATAAGTGGCATTAAAAGAAGTTTAAGTTTAAAAAATGTGGCTCTCAAAAGAAATTTCAATCGTTGTGCTGTTGATATTTGGCTCTGTTGACTAATGGGTTTGCTGTCCACTGACCTAGGTAAAGGTCCCCATGGTTGGGAATTGTGCGGAAGGGAGCTTTGTTTTAAAATAATTATAATAACCACTTGGGTTTTAGTTGGAGCCTATTAACAAATAACCCATTTCCCCAGATTACTTAGCCTGTCTCTGTCTCAGTTTCCTCATCTGTTAAATAAGGTTGATAGCTGAAACCGGTTTGGCTCAGTGGATAGAGTATTGGCCTGCGGACTGAAAGGACCCAGGTTCGATTCCGGTCAGGGGCACATACTTTGGTTGAGGCCCATCCCCAGTAGGGGGTGTGCAGAAGGCAGCTGATCAATGATGTTTCTCTCTTATCGATGTTTCTAACTCTCTATCCCACTACCTTCCTCTCTGTAAAAAATCAATAGAATATATTTTTTAAAATGAGGTTTATCGATTCTCGGCCTTTTGGCTAAGATCAAATGTAGTAAAAATGAGGTTGATAATAGCACCTAACATGATGGACTCATGGCAAGATTCTGATGACACATTTTACCTAAATGCTTTCCCTAGCAAATGTCATATAAATATTTGCTGTTATTAACAACATGAAATCCAAAACTTCTCCCTCTGAATTCTGAGTCTTATCAAAGAATACACTCCTGTTTGGATTTCCATTGTCAGTTACCCCTGATTAGCCTCAAAGCTCCAGGAGGGAAGAGACATCACCCCCATGTCTAGCACCCGTGTCCCCGACACACTGCCTAGTGTCCAGCACAGGGTAAGTGTAAATAATAAATACATTAAAAATGAAAAAGGAATACACTCCTAATGGAAGACTTTCCAGAAAACAGTAGGCCAGAGAACATGTGTCTCCCTCTCATAATAATGGTAAATGTTCTCATCATTACTATTAATTAGGAAGATCGGTGGGAAATTATATGATATTGAAGGTCTTCCAGGTTCTACAAAGGCCAGAGGTGTGTGTCTGTCTCTTTAACTCAGTTCAATCATATGTGACAAACTTAAGCACAGATGAGATGGCCTTTTCCAAAAGGGGTGACAAAACAGAGAGGAAATCCCAGGCAGGGAGCGTCAACTTATGAACCAGGAGGTCATGGTTGGATTCCTGGTTGGGGCACATGCCCGGGTTGTGGGCTTGATCCTCAGTGGGATCATGCAGAAGGCACCCAATCAATGATTCTCTCTCATCATTGATGTTTCTATCTCCCTCTCGCTTCCTCTCTGAAATTAAAGAAGCAAAATGGGAAGGGAGACATAATACGTTGGATCTGCTCTCCACAGAAGGAGGAACTTTCAAATATTTTTGGTTATTCAACAACTGCCAATAGTTTTTTCCATTCCTGCATTTATTCTGGCATATGAGGAGCCTTGTGAGTGTCTTACTCAATGCTCAGAATTATTGCTGCTTCTGACATGCAGGTGCTGATATAAAAGGCGACCTGGAATGCTGAGGTGGCTGTTGTCAAGCTCAACCTACACCTTCCAGCTGCTGTCCAAGTCCTGAAAAGTGTCACCAGGGGTCACACTGAGGAAAGAGGAGGATGTCGGTGGGGGTGTGCTTAGAGGGCAGATAATTGGGGGCAGGTGCAGGGGTACATTATTGAAACTGGCCAAGGGTTCTCCTTTGGGCTTCCTCAGGACCTTTCATAATCCCCTGAGTTTTACGCAGCTGTTGTGGGACCAGAACCCTGACCTGCTTCCACACCAGCACGTTGAACTTGTGGAGATGTGAGGGTCACCTGATTGGCCCAGGCGGGAGGCCGAGCAAGGTGGGTGACAGTAATCCAAAAAAGGTGGGTGAAGAGAGGAAAGTCACCTTCACCTCATCCCTCGTTTTCCGTAGACCATTGGTACTCAACCCAGTGACATATGGCAACATCTGGTGATGTTTTTGGAGGTCACAACTGGGGCATCTAGGAGGTAGAGATCAGAGATGCTGTAAAGGACCTTATGATGCTCAGGATCCCCTCCCCATAAAGAATTACCCAGCCCCACATGTCAACAGTGCAAAAGTTGAGAAATCCTTCTGTAGATCCATCGTCTAGTTTCCAGTGAGATGACCGTGTTCTTGGCAGGGACTTTGGGGACGACAACATACTCTCCTCCAGTGCCTGGAGCCTCTAATTATTTTAAATGTGTGTCCCAAACCAGTGGCTGTTCAAGAAATATTTGTCACCGCACTTGACACCATCCGTCTTCAAGGTCACTCGTGTGTTTCTCTCCCTCCATTCCAAAGTTGGATCTGTCTCCACAGTTTCCCAGTTATTCATTGCTTCTGAACTTGAGCGAGTTCAATGCCGCCTCTGGTTCTGAAGAAAGCTGGGGCAGCAGGCGGGGAGGACTGAGTGCACAGGAGGAGTTGTGATGACTAGCACCCCGCTTCCTGGCGGTGCTCTGAGAAGGAAGCCAAGCCTGGTGAGGTAGAGAAGTGAGGGCCCTGAGGCGGGAGCTGGAGAATAGAGGAAATATGTGGTGGGACGGTTATGAGGAAACTGTGAGCTCCCTGCGGCCACTCCTTTTGAAGCACGAACTGAAGGAGGGGCACTCCTGGGATCTCAGGTCCGTTTTCTTCTATTTTGTCAACTCCAAGGCATGGACAACACAACCGCGGCTGGTGAAGCAGTGAGTGCCACAAGCGCAGAGCTAGCAACATCAGAATGTGCCTCCAGCCACACTCTGCTACTCACAGGTGTGACCTCGTGCAGCTCAAGTAACCTCTTCGAGCTTTAGTTTGCTTATCTATAAAAAATAAAACCCATGCTTCCTCTATTCTAACCTCTCCATGCAGCAGGGTTACAAAACAGCTACGTGGGTATGGGGAAGATGAAATGTTGATTATGTGAGTAGGCACTCAGCACACGCTAGGTTAGGTTCTTACTATTATTTTGTCCTCAGAAGCAGTACAGAAAATGGGCGAGATACTCCATTTAGCCTGGAAGCACAGCTGCATCTGATGTAAGAGAATTCGGTCCTGCTGTGTTATCCTGGGTTCTCCAGCGAAATATTACCAATCAGCATGTGTCATATATATGTACACACACACACACACACTGGAGACCCAGTGCACAAAATTCATGCACAGGGGAGGTGTCCCTCAGCCCAGCCTGCACCCTCTCCAATCTGGGATCACTCTCACAATCCAGGACTTCTGGCTCCCAACTGCTCACCTGCCTGCCTTCCTAATTGCCCCCTAACTGCTTCTGCCTGCCAACTTGATCACTCCCTAACCACTCCCATGCCAGCCTGATTGATGTCTAACTGCTCCTCTAACAGCCTGTTTGCTCCTAACTTCCCTCCTCTGCTGGCCTGGTCACCCCCAAGTTTCCTCCCCTGCAGGCCTGATCACCCCCAACTGCCTTCCCTTACAGGCCTGGTCCCTCTCAATTGCCCTCCCTTGCTGGCCTGATAGTCCACAACTGCCCTTCCTTTCAGGCCTGGTCCCTCCCAACTTCCCTCTCCTGCTGGCCATTTTGTGTCCACATGGGGGCAGGATCTTCGACCACATGGGGGCAGCTATTTTGTGTGTTGGAGTCATGGTCACTCTGCATATTACTCTTGTATTAGATAGGATAGAGGCCTGGTGCATGGGTGGGGGCTGGCTGGTTTGCCCTGAAGGGTGTCCTGGATCAGAGTGGGGCTTCCCTTAGGGCATGGGGCGGCCTGAGCGAGGGGCCTGTGGTGGTTTGCAGCCCAGCCACACATCCCGGCAATCCAAGTGGAGACCCTGGTATCTGGGACTTATTTATCTTCTACAATTAAGAATTTGTAGCCTGGAGTGGAACCAAGACTTCTGCTCACTCCATGGCGGCAGCCATTTCTGTTGGGTCTTATTTATCTTCTATAATTGAAACTTTGTAGCATTGAGTGGAGGTCTAGGCTGGCAAGGGCAGTGGGAAAGCTTGACTTCCTCCATTGCCAGGGAAACCCAAGTCTCCTTCCTGCTCTCCGTGGCAGCAGCCATTTTGGTTGGGTTTATTTGCGTACTCACTCTGATTGGCTTTGTGGGCATGGCTTATGGGTGTAGCAGAGGTATGGTCAATTTGCATATTACTCTTTTATTAGGTATGATATATAAATATATGTATATTTATGGTTAACAATTTTTTAAATGATTGATTTGAGGGAGGAAAGGAGAGTTCAACATTGATTTGTTGTTCCACTCACTCATGCACTCACTGGTTGATCCTTATTTGTGCCTGACTGGGGATTAAACCCACAATCTTGGCATATTGGGATGTGCTTTAACCAACTCAGCTAATTGGCCAGGGCTATTGTATATATTATATATACATATACACTGAGTGGCCAAATTATTATGATCTATGAATGCATAATAACCTGGCCACTCAGTGTATCTGTATCTCAAATGGGCACCAAAAGTATTCTAGACTTTTACTGGAGATCAACCACCTATTTGCCCTGAACTTTCTATCAGCAAATGCAAAGGGGAAAATTGATCAGGTGTATGATTTATAGTATCTTTGATATCAAATAAATAAGGTAGTCAAGAGAAGTACACTGAGTGACATTCAGAGATCCTAATAATCTGGCCACTCAGTGTATACACACAGAGAGATTATATCAATTATAATTATTGTAATATATACTATATATATATATATATTTGTTTCCTATGGAAATTTGAAAAACATTACCTAACAGAATAGAAATAATAAGAAACAGATAGTCATGCATCACCACCCAGAATGACACTTGTCCCATTCAGTCATAGTTGCTACAAGTCGCTTTCTTCCCACAAATGAAGGCCTCTTTTCCTCCCCACACCATGCCCGTGATCTCGCCCCCTCCGGTAGAAACGTCCACCCTGGCCTTGGTGTTATCATTTGTGTGCACATCTTTAATACGCTTACAATATAGGTACACCTCTGCGATGTAGACTTTAAAAATTACATACCAATGGTATACTGCGGTGGTTGTTCTGGAACTTAAATTCTGTCTTCTAGATGAAACGAAGCCTCCCAAGATGGCAGGAGTGACACTAGGTAAGAGAAGAGACCCTCCTGGGATGCAGAGTCCTTAAAACACGGATGAGGCTCCCAGAGAGCTCTCTGCTGCTGGGCACGTCCTTGTGGATGCTTCTCTATATTCTGGTGATGCCAGAAGATTGTGGTTCAATGCAACGTCTTTCAAGGTGGGTGGGGTTGGAGTCCCAGCTGTGGGTACTCAGTAGTTGGGTGCCTTTAAAAACCTTTCAGCTCTCTGACCCTCTGTAAAATGGGCATCATTCTTTCTCTCTCCCGGGATACTTGTGAGTATGAGAGGTGTAGTGAGTTCCCACCATGTCCCAGGAACACAATCAATGGTAGACACGGTCAGGCATCAGAACAGGTCTCAGGAAACCAGCTGGGCCTCTCCTCTGCTCTCCCCTCACAGGAACCACCGAAATCATCCTCATTGTCATCGTACCTCTACTCTTCCTCCTCGCAGCCTTCCTCATCTGCAAATACACCTGCTGTGGTGAGTCAGAGCAGGGGATGAGTCTTTGGGGGGCTGAGGGGGAGACATAACGACAAGGCTAACACCTCAGCGTTCACACATCCCCCCCTTCTTTCTCATCCCCAGGGGCAGCTCTTAAAAAGACAACCAGAAGGTAGGCCACTCAAACCCCATCAGCCAACACTTCACTGGTCCTCCCTCACTTCCTGGGCCACCTCATCTTTTTTGTTACATCAACCTGTTGTGTGCCCCAGACCAGCTCCCACGACCACCCCGGATCTCTAAGTTCTCTCTTCTTAGCACCGCCCTCCACTTCTCACTCAGTGCCCTTTCCTTGGCTTCTTTCCTCATGGCCGTGCTGTCCCCAACCACTTCCTTCTCCCTGGCTCCCAAGACCTTCCTGAGCATGTGAGGACTTGGAGACCTGAGGGGGAGGGAGGGTGTCTGAGCTGGGAGGAGGAGCTGGAGAGACGGGTGGGGTGACTTTCTCTGCGGCTGACCTCCTCCCACACAGGATCTTGATTTCTCCCCGCAACTTCCTTGATCTCTAATACTTCACTGTTTCTCTCTAACAGCTCCCATTCTTCTAAGAAAATGGAAGAAGTGGTGACAGGTAATCAACCCGGGAAAGAAAATGGCGGTGGGGGTGGTCCGTGTGTCTGTTTGTAAATGTGTATAGGAGTATGGGATGCAGGCATGTGGGGTGTGCACACATCGTTGCTGTGTGCATGTGTCTACACATGTAGTCGGGCACACATTCATGTGAACACATACATGTACACATTCAGAACGAGTACAATGTGTGCACTGTTTGAGTATGCATGTGTGTATCTGTGTGGTTTGTATGTTGTTTGTGAACATGAGTAGTTTGGATATTTGTGTGCATGAGTGTGTATATGTGAATATTTCATGCATACCTGCATTAGTGTGTGCATGCCATGTGCATTATGTGAGTATATTAGTACATGTGTAGCTGTGCGCATGTGTGTGTAGACATGACTCCTGGAGCTGGGAGTGAACAAATGGTAGAATCTTCTCCCTTCCAGATGCGTCTCCAGCTACGAAGAGTGGCTCTCCCGCCCTGGTGAGTTTCCCGTCAGCCCCTCGCTCAGTCCCGGCTCTCCATGGCTCCCCTTTCGTTCTGTCAACGGTCTGGGCCTTTGCTTTCATCTGCCCCAGCCCTTCCTCTGCATCCCAGGAGAACCAGGTCTGAACTCATCTGTGCGACTCTGGCCATGGGGCCCTCATCCCATGATGCCTCTGTGAGGACACCTCCCAGTCCCTAAGGGGGTGCACTTCCTCATAGGATTAACGGGGTGGTTAAGTGAGCTCACAGTGCGGGGCCGAACTTGCAACCTGGGTACGTGCCCTTGACTGCAACTGAACCCAGGACCCTTCAGTCTGTGGGCTGATGCTCTACTCACTGAGCCCAACCAGCCAGGGCTAATCCCAGCTCATGATGAAAATATGGTAAGATCCCTCTGTAAAGCACTTGCCACACTGTACTCCATAGAGCAGACCCTGTATCAGTTATCAGTAGCAATGTTAGAAGTAACCCTTATTTTTTCCCTTTTATAATTCAATTTTTTAAAAACGGTGTCAAAATGCACATAACAGAAAATTCACGGTTGCAACGTGTACGATTCAGCGACATTTGGTAAGCTCACAATGTTGTGCCACATCACTGTCATCTAGTTCCAGACATTTTCCCCCAAAGCACCCTCACGCCCTTGGAACAGTCACACCCCATTCCCTCCGCCCCTCCCCCATCCCTGGCAGTAACTAACCGGCTCTGTCCCTATGGATTTAAGATCCTGAGGGTTTCCTACTAACACTCACTTTGGTAACTGTTTGTATAAACGATCTGTTGCTGTGTAACAAGTCATCCCTGAACACAGTGGCTTAAAGCCCATCGCTCCGCCCACCTGTGGGGAGGACCTGGAGCGCTGAGTGGCTCCCTCTGGGTCACAGCTGTGAGGAGCGGCTGGGCAGGGCTGAAGGGGGCTTTGCTAGGAGAGGCTGTGCTTCCACTCTCACCCAGGTGACTCACTTCCTGGCTGACTGTTGGCCAGAGACCACACTGGCCGGCCCTGGGGGCCTCTCCATAGGACAGCTCCTCACATGGAAGCTGACTTCATCAGCGTGAGCGAGCCCAGGACTGCCAGGGACAGCGGAGAAGTGGGCATGAGAGAAGACATAGTCCTTCATTGGCTCATCTTTGACACAACATCCAGTCATTTGGGTGTATATATTTTTTCTGCATTCCTTTGATAGATGTAAGACACTAGGTCTGGCTAAATAGGGGAGGGGACCTGCCTGGGCCAGTTGCATAGTTGGTTGGAGCATCATCTAGTACACCAAAGGGATCAGGGTTCGATTCCTGGTCAGGGTACATACCTAGGTTGCAGGTTTGATCTCCGGTTGGGGCACATTCAGGAGGCAACTGGATCAATGTTTCTAGCTCACATCCATGTTTTTCTCTCTCCTCTCTAAAAATCAGTAAAAAGATCGTTGGGTGAGGATTAAAAAGAAAAGAAAGAGGGAAAACCTCGCAAAGGCTTGAGGGGTAGGAGGCTCTGGGGAGGGGGCCTGGAAAGCTGTCTACCACCCTGCTACTATGCTCGCCCAGTCCTCCCCATGAAGTAAGTCCTCCCTGGAAGACTTGGCCTCTTCTCTCGCTTCCCTTCAGGATGAGGGATCGCAGGTGTCCAGGGCTGAAGAACCGCAGGGAGTGACGTATGCTGAGCTGAACACCAGAGCCCTGCGCGAGGGCCCCTCCACCCAGGTGCCGCAGCCCCCAGAAACGTGCGTGTACTCGGCCCTCAAGATGTAGCAGGAGAAGCTCTGGCACCAGGAAGAACTGCCAATAAGGGGGTGGACAATGGGGCAGAGGGCCCTTGGGGGACTGGGCAAATGAGGAAACCTTTCCTCAGTCTCCACTTCAGACTTGCTTCCTCCTTCTACGAAAGTAACATTTATTTTTTCAAGTGGAAGGTATCATTAACATAGAGTGATATACAGAGAGAGGACTCAGTCCTATCATTGCCAGGAAGACCAACCACGTGATGAGGAGGTTTGGAACCAGAGCCAGGTGTTATCAGCCGGTCCTCTGGGGAAGAGAGGGAGGCTGGGGACGGACTCTGTCACGTGGGCAGTAACCCAATCAACCACGCCTGCGTGATGGCATCCCAACGAAGATGCTGGACACGGACACTGGAAAGCTTCCAGTTGGTGACACTCCATCATGTCCTTGGAGGTGGACACATCCTGAAGACATAGCAAGTTGCCCTGCTGGTACTGATTTGTATTCTTTATATAATAAAATTGTAACCTAAGTATAGTACTTCCTTGAATTCCTTGAGTGGCTCTAGGAAATTATTGAACCTGAGTGGAGGTAGTAGTGGGAACAACCACCATGTTTGGCTGTTGGTCAGAAGTGCAGGTGGCTGGGGAACACCTGAGCCTGCAGCTGGTGTCTGAAGTGTGGGGCACTGCACCCCTAACCTGTGAAGGCTGTGCTAACTCCAGGTGGCACGTGTTGGAATTGCACTGCGGCTCAGAAGTGCAACCTGGGTATGTACTCTTGGACAGAATTGAACCTGAGACCCTTCAATCTGCAGGCTGATGCTCTATCCACTGAGCCAAACAAGCTAGGGCTGCTTTTGTTAATTTTAGAGAGAAAGGAAAGGGAGAGAAATACTGACTTGAGAAACACTGATATATTCACTGAGTGGCCAGATTAT